AAATATCTTCTCAAAATCCTGCAGCTTGTTATCTAAATATACTTTTTATTTGTATTTTAGTTTGTAGCAGCGGGAGATCATTTGGTTCACCATTGCCCCACATGGAAATGGTGAGTGTCCACTTAGAGGTGAATCACAGATATATGAGTTTCTGATGGTAAGATCCCCTTACACGGGAAATATGATTATTAGCTCTTGAAAGCTGAGATCAAATATAAACTTTGAAATACACCACTGCAGCACTACTCAATGAATGTATGTCATTATTTTATCACGTTTACCTTTACCACGGAGGTGAGCTCATACACTGGAGTGGAGCTGGGTACTGTTGGTAGTAACTTTAGTAATGTGGTGGTTGCTGGTAGTAATGTGAGTGCAAGGATAAAAGAAACAACTATTGTCATTGAACTACACATCGTTGTACAACTCATTTCAGTTATAGTCCCATGTTTGTATGGGATTGCCTAACCCCTGACACTCATTTTTATATTATTTTTTTAATGCAAAACCTTAAGTCCACCAACACTAAGTAAAATAATTATTATATTTCAGCTCATTCAATTCCTCTTTGATATAAATGCTCAACAAACCTGCAACTGTGGACCTTAAATTGTTAAAGTAATAAGTGTATATGTCTTGGTTTCCATCTTCCTTTAGGGCTAGTGGGGAAGAAGTCAAGGTAAAGCCATATTTGCCGCAGGATAAACAGTTTCTCCTGACACGCAATGGTAGGTGGATTTGAAATACAATTCCATTATTGTAAAGATTCCTTTGTTACTTAACTTCCAGCATTACTTCCTCTGGTGTGTGTTAACTGTGTGCTGACGATGTGTTTGATGTCTTTCAGTTCCTTGTTACAAGCGTTGTAAACAGATGGAGTATTCAGATGAGCTGGAAGCCATCATTGAAGAGGATGATGGAGACGGGGGCTGGGTGGACACGTACCACAACTCAGGTTGGTCACCATCAACATCCATACATTGCATATATCCAGAGCATTTCATCTATGCTATAAAACTGTGACCTGACATAACACAACCAGACAAACTTGGAATTCCCTACATTTACACATTTGAAGAACTGAAAGCTGGCCTAGACTTTCCATGCTTTTTGAAATAATGATGAAGAACATGACTCTGCTTTGTTTTGGCAGGCGTGTTAGGAGTCACAGATGCTGTACGAGACATTTCCCTGGACAATAATAAGGTATGCTTTAAAATGTCTGTGATTTTTCTTTTCTGATTGAACACAATGCGGAATCCATGAAAGCCAAGTATATTAGTATACCTAGAGCTGGTGTTACAATGGTAGGCAGTATCTCCTCACAGCAAGAGGGTTCTGGGTTTGAACCCACTCAAACAGCATTAGGAGAGCAGTTTCTATGGATACGATAAGGCAGATCTTAGATAGGACCATAAAACAATCTTTTCTTTAGACAATAACAGGACAGTTTGACCCTGCCAGGGACAGGACTGCAGTGTATTCTAGTTTGATGTTGATTATGCTCTTATAGGGAGTGGTTATTATGAAGGACAGGGGAAGAGACCTTCAGAGTGGGTTGGGGCAGAGGACATTAAAGTCACGATGAGCCACTAAATACTAATATAAGATAAGATAAGAGGTGCGTTATGGATCCCAAATTGGGAAATGTTTGCGTTGCAGCAGCATCAAAAACAACAAAACAAAACAAGGCATTGCACATAAGTAGAAATAAACAATACTAGGATTTAAACATCTCAAAATAGAATTAAAGCAGCATTAAGAAGAAGAATATATACAGTAGTCCGTGAAGATAAAAAAATCTATAAACTTTGAAAATAAAACACTATTGAAGGCTTTAGACACAATATAAAGCAGGATATTATTAACATGTAATATCTAGTTTTATAGTCTTATCTCTCTTTGGGTTTCTCTTAAGGATGCTGGTTCAACATTACAATATATGTAAATCAGCAGATGTGTAATGTGTGTAAAATTGTCCCACAAGAGTGTAGGGAATGGAATATTCAATTCAATGTAAAATGTACAGTGTATTAAATATGAATGTAAAATATCAACCTGGAAATTAGCAGAATATGACCTTTAGGTACAATTCTGAGGTACTTTTACATTTTGCTATTCACCACATGTTGGAAGCTAGTATTTTTATTGTATCTATCTATTTATCTGACACTTTGTTACTTTTTATAGATTCAGATTATTAGCTAATACAAAACAAATATATATATATATTGACATTACCAGATGTGATGAATCAATAATCAAAATCTAGTCATTTATCGTGTATGATTTATGGGCCATTACAGATCACAAGTACTTCTACTTTTGGTACTTCAAGTGTATTTTGATGCTGATGCTGATGCAGTCCTTTTCACTTTCTACTTTTATTGAAGTCAAATATATTCTTCCACCTTTTCAATTTGAATTCCTCTAGGACAACAATATGAATGCCAAGTCTGCAGCATGTGGTGATGATGAAGATGATGAAGAAGAGGGAGAAGCAGCCGATATGGAAGGTACTTAAATCCTACGAGTAATGAAGCATTTTTATTTGGTTTTTCAGACAGTCTCACATTGTTCCTATTGCTTCTTTTCAGAGTACGAGGAGAGCGGCCTGTTGGAGACGGATGAGGTAAACGTCTCGATGTGTCGCAGCTTGACTTTTATTCCCCCCCAGTTCAACCCGCCCCTCACGCTTCTCTCCTCTGTGTAGGCCACCTTGGACACCAGTAAAATGGTTGAAGCCAAAGCAGAGCCGGGGAGTGAAGATGCCATCCTTCAGACGAGAACATACGACCTGTACATCACATACGATAAATACTACCAGACCCCTCGACTCTGGCTCTTTGGATATGATGAAGTATGGGAGCCCCTTTGTTATAAAGCAACATTAAACTCACCAGAGACAGGAGCTTAGTTTTTTTGCCAGCATTCTGAACCCGGAAATGTTGAGTACCCCAATTTGTTTATGTTATAGCACGGGTCCCGAGCACATGCCGGGTGCTAACCTGCATATGTTGGGCAATTTGCACGATTTACATAAGTTGCATTATTAGCATATGCAGACAATAGCTAAAAAAGTGGCTTAGACGATTTTGGTGTGGTTTTTGAGGTATATTGAGGATGTTGAATCAATTTCTTACATTTTTGGGGTTAAAAATTGCAGTTTTGGGTCCCTTTAAACATTTAAAATCAACCCAAAATTCATAAAAATCAACCCACGTGGAGTACAAACGGACACTTTCTGGTTAAAACTGCAATTTTCTATCCTTAAAATCTCCGAAATGTATTCAGCATCCTCTAGAACTCCGAAAAATAAAGCTGTGGTTAGCGTTGTTTCCACATACACTTTTAACTTTCTGCTCATCAAGATGTTTTGTCCCCCAGGATAGACATCCTCTGTCTGTAGAACAGATGTACGAGGACATAAGCCAGGACCACGTGAAGAAGACGGTCACCATTGAGAACCACCCCAACCTTCCCCCCCCTGCCATGTGCTCAGTCCACCCCTGCAGGTGAGTAACACACCCCCCTCTCTTTCTTTAGATGCACATGTTGCACCACCCTTCCTATTTGTATTTGTCTCTTCACAATGTTGAGATAATTAAGCAATAGCTCACGACAGGCCGTGGTATATGCTCATTATATCACAGCTAAGGGGAGTGGTTCGGCCCGACGCGAAGCGGAGGGTCGACAACCCCCTGCAGGCAGTTTGCTTTTCGGGCCAACTGTATACTGTTTATCTCAGACGCGGAGGGATACTGAGTTGTTGTGAATAGTAACTTACAATTCTACCCGTGGTATACGCTCAGTATACCACGGCTAAGAACCAATCAGATTGCTTGATTTGGCTTGTCCGTTTTATAATGGTTCACATGCCGTTACTTTTACTCTATAGTGATGATAGTATGACTAAAAATGTGAATGTTTCCCACAGACATGCTGAAGTGATGAAGAAGATCATCGAGACAGTGGCAGAAGGAGGAGGAGAGCTGGGAGTGCATATGTATCCTTTCATGGTGATAACATGTCCTCTTCTTATGCAACCATTTTGATTGACTGTTATTGTGGTACTATGGACAAGTATTTACTAGTTGTGTGGAGTGTTACGGTTATTGCGAAGTTGATTTCCAGGAACTTTAAACAGCCATGCGACTTCAATGTATTTATAGTCTAACAGATTTTAATTTCTGCCGGTTTAACTTAGACTTAAAAAATCATAAAGTGGTGTTAATATGTGGATATTATCCCGCTGAAGAAAACTTGTAAGTATCATAAACGTGTGTTTGCCACAGATCTTTTTTCATACAATATTTCAGAATCCAATAGACGAATCCCCTTGCGAGGCTAAGTTCCGGGTTGGCTTACAGAAATGTTGTGTACCAACAATATGCTCTTAGCACCAACATACCATCATGTGTCAGTGTATGTGCCTTTGTGTTTTCCTTAACCGCAGCGTTCAGGTATCTGCTCATTTTTCTCAAGTTTGTCCAGGCTGTCATTCCCACAATAGAATACGACTACACGAGACACTTCACCATGTAGCTTCACAAGTGTGCTTCTGCTAATGCGTCATTGGAAAGACGGGCTCTTCAGCCTATATGTCCAGAGGATATCTGGTTTTTGGAGTGTTTAAGAACGTTGGAGGTGTGTGACAAAGCTGTGTGTTAAAGGAACAATCAGAACATATGTGTTTGTCTGTGTGGATACATGTGTGCTGTCTAACTGATACTCTATGGCAGGAAAAGTCAGAGCTGTCTTATTTTCATGTTTGTATTGTTTTATTTCACCACTTGAAAATATATAAATGTAAAATAAACATACTTGGAACTATTTATAATTAGCCTGGAAGCTAACCACATGTATTTTGGTTTCACAACGTTGGCTCATAGTCTTACTTCTGGTCTTTGTGCTAAGCTAGGCTAACCACACCTCTGAACTGGACAACACTGATTTTGATCTGACTCTGGGAAAGACTGCAGACGAAGCTTGTTCCTAAAATGTTGGGCTCTATGTCTGAGGTTTCTCTACAGGTTTACTGTTGCGACCACAAAGTAGGGAAATCTCAAGTTCTTGACACTCACCCCATTCCACACTGCTTGAAATATAAGAGTCCATATCAAGAAAATAATACACATTGGTAGTTCAAATGTTAGCATCATGACTCATAAATTAGAAGAATAACACATTTCCTACAGCCAAACACGTTCTTTCACTGAAAACAGCTCTCTGCTGCTGCTGGAAACTGATGGATGAGAAGGGTGGCACTGAACCAAAACAGTAAAGATAGGGACCATACAAACCAAATCATTGAGCCCTACATTAAGGTCCTTCACTGCCTTTAGTCATCTGTTTATGAACATCTGTTTCTTGTACAACTACACATAATATATTCAGAGAAAATACATCAAATCTGTGCACAGCTATTGCTATGAAAGTTTCTTGCTTACTTCCTTTCTTGAATGTCGAATAATTCTGCTACCATGCCCCGCAGCAGTGCTTATTATTGCTTCCATTCTGGTGCACTTTGTAGAAGGCATGGCTGAACTCTGTTGTTGTAAATGGGCTTTTTATGCCGGTTTGTCTTAATACTTCATTCTCTGAATGTGTAGATGGCCAGACCTTTTGAATCATACATGGTTCTTGTGGGAAGCTCCTATGTTTTCTTGTGTCTAACTTAAACTTTGGACAATATCCCTCCTGTGTAGCTTGTGTCAGAAGCAGAGATATTTTTCAAATAAGAGCTGTGTGAAGGCTGGCTCTAATGTGCAGCATTTTACCCTAACAAATTAATTATTTTATTGTCATAAGTCTCTCTATGTACTTCAATAAATCCTTCAATTAATATCTGGTGTAGTTTATTGAAACGATTTTGATTCATATCCTACAGTAACATATGTCTAACAGTACTCTCAACTACATAAAATATAATGCTCGCTTTGCTTGTATTCTGTTGGTTCAATGAAATATTCACATAATAAAGAATTTATCAAATATTGCAAAAAGAAGATATGCTTACTTTTTTGGGCTTTGGTGGGTGTGGGCATGAGTCTAAAATCCTTATTTCTACACAGAGTTTAGGTAAACGGTCCGGATAAAAGAAAAAACATACAATACTATATTAGAACTTTACATTTGGTATAGGTTTTAGCGGGGACGTGCACAGACATTTGGAGGGGCTATTGCTCTAAACTGGAAAAAGGGCCTCCCCCCGAAAAAAAACATAAGACCTTTTGAAGATTCTAACTTGTTTTTAATGTAAAAGAAACCAAACGATTTTTAAATTAACTAATTTGAAGAGTAATTCACATTATCATCTCATAACAAAATAAGCTAAAAAACTTGCATTCGGTAGTTCATAAAAGGAAAACCAGGGACTTTTTTAGTTTTGTGGTCCATATCTCATTAAAATATCTAATGTTACTAACTATTAAAGAGAACATGGGGACAATTCTGTCTTAATGTAGTTTGACCATTGTAACTGCTGTGCAGACATACTGATAAAAATAGGGCTTCTAACTAATTACCTTAAAGGGCCCATGTCATGGCCATTTCCACTGATCATAATTACATTGTTGAGGTATACTAAAATAGATTTATACTGTGCAATTTTCCAAACTCACATTGGTTTCGCATACAGCATCTCTGTCAAGCATGTGTATTCAGCAGTATTCACTTTCTCCACTAAACGACTCGTTGGAGCTCTTGCCCCCCCCTCCCTGTGAGCCTAGTGTGCTCCGATTGGTCAGCTCGGCCACTCGTTCTGATTAGTCAACCACCAGAGAGGCTGCGCCCATGTCTAACAGTGCTTTTCCCGGCTGCTCTCAGCGTAACATCAGTCTTATCATGGCGTCGGCACAGCCGTATATTTTATATACATATATATTTTTAACTGTTATAGAAGAGTGTGACGGCCCCAGGGCCTTTGTCTTACGATGGGGTGGAGCTGAAGAGGCTAATCAGCACGATCACGGACACCTCCGGACACTACGGCCCCAGTCTCTCTCCAAAGCGGCTGCAGGAAGACTAACTCTGCGATCCTCTCAACCACCTATCTCTGCATTTATCACAATAAATGTGCCGTGGTTTTGTAAACTCGTGTATGTCTCCTTGTCTTTGTGGCCTACGAGCCGCTCATAACAAAGAGTAAGTTATTTTTACCCGTTATAAACTACTACTGTTTGATGAGAAATCAAATCATGGTTTGCTATATATGAATTCAGGGAAGAAAGGATAGGCCTACTAAGTATTTCCATTAAACTTTATTTTTAGAAATGTACAAAATGAACATAAATATACATATATACACGGTATATCATCCATTCCTCCTCCTTGCATCTTGCCTGCGCACAGTCGGTGCGGTGCCTTTTAGCACGACGCCTCAGTAGTAGTAGAAGTGCCTTTTAGCACGTCATGGATTGTCCGCCAGGATCTGGCTGGACGAAATCAAATGCAAATCACAAAATATTAGAGAAACTTAGTTGTTTTAGATTCGTTAGTAGTAGTTGTGTAATGAACAGCTTGCCTGCTAATATGCTAACCTAGCTTTGTTTACCTTGGTAGCTAACACGATATGAACGTTAGCTTGGAGGAAAGGCAACTATAATGCAGTGTAATAAAACTACTATGAACAAAAGCTAGTGGTTCATATTAGGCTAGCAATAACGTGTTTATAATTGCAATCGTATACGGGTATTCTGCTACCATACAATGTAACTTGCATGAATACATTGTTTTGCGCTAGCATACAGCTAGCCTCGTTAGCTACATGCAGTATATGTACGGTCACAATGTACGGTAAATCACAGTACAGTATACTGTATGAGTATTCCGTGTGTGTGAATGCAGACATTCTCCTGCTATGAGATACATGTATGCAAGGCCATCTGCTGATATTAGAGTTGATATATGGAAACTCTAGCAACTTAGTTAGCACAGTTAGCACTGTGTCAATGGCTTAGCAGTCCAACACAGTTTACACATTTAAACAGTCTTGTTTGATAAATACACAAATAACAATGCAAACTTACAGGTTGTATACCCAGATCTTCCCCTGCTCCAAACGGTCCAAACAAGCTGTGCATATCCGGCCTCAAACTGGGCAATGTTTTGGAAGCTTTCGTCTGTGAAATGCCGGTTCTTCGAACCTCTGGAGGAGGAACACGCCGCTGCTGGTGTGGCCATAGCTCTTCGGGATTGGTCCATTTCGTTCCGGGTACCGCATGACATCAGGCGGTACCCGGAAGAATCAAATGGGCAGTGACGTATCTCCAACGAGGCGTTTTGGGGAGGTATTTTCTGTGTTAGAGTTTTACTCGCTACAGGGTGTACTTTGAGGGTTTTGACTCTGCACACCGTTTACATGCATAAAAACCTTCATAACACACAAGGGGACGGGTAATAACCGGAAAAGCATGACATGGGAGCTTTTTAAATAAACTCACTAATTAATGAAACCAGTTCAATACGCATTATTCTTATTCTTATCATTCTTTATCAGCGCAGTAACGGTACGGTATCTAATTACTTATTTATTTAGTATTCCATAACTTCATAACAGAGATGGTCAAACTGAAGTAGAGACATGGCAGAAATCCTACAATGAAGCGGGACAGTGAAGTGTTCTCCTGAGAGAGGGCGATCAAGAGAAGAGAGAGAGGGTGAGGGAGTTTACAGATGAAAAGACACAGAAAGACAGAAGCACAATAACAAGTATATTTAGGTGTTTTTTTGTAAATAACAGACGGTGTCAAGAGAAAGATAAGTCCCCTGGTTTGTCGCCTATACTCTAACTGCCATGAGAAAACTCAAAATTAATTTTCCAAAATCTGACACTGGAGGTGGTCTTTAACGCACCGGCAGATGACAGCGCTGACAAGGTGTGTTTTATCGCAGCGAGACGCTACAATACTAATTGTGGGTTTATCATGTTGATTCGGCCACAACAGAAAAAAATAAAAATAAACTCTCGTTCTCTCCAGCTGGTGTGCTAATAGTTGCAGTTGCACACTAAGGCCAGCAGGGGGCGGTGGTGTACAGCACACAGTGACACCAACAGCACCACCAAAGAAGCAGCAGCAGCAGCAGTATGCCGTCAGTCAGCAGCGTGCTGTGGAGGTCATGCTTGGGACTTGAACATGTCGGTGCTGGAGCCCACTCTCCTGCTCTGTGTGTTCGGCTTCTTCTCCAGCCTGCGACCGTCGGAGCCCTTCCTCACCGCCTTCCTGCTGGGCCCGGACCACAACCTGACGGAGGAGCAGGTCAGTTAGCTAGCCGGGCAAAAGGCTATATTAGCCCTGACTGCTGTTACTTGCGTTACTGACTGACGCAATACTAAATACAATTAAGCATGTGATGTTAATTATGTTTTACTGTTGTGCGAATTTATCAATTTTCCTAGTATACGTCCTATTGAATTAGCCTTTTACTTGTTTATACGGAAGAGGAAAAAGTAAAGATGTGACCAAAAGTAACACAAAGTTCAGACTTTACTCTCAGAATTCAGATTTTTCCCCCCTGGACAAATAATAATAATGTTCTCAGAGAATGTTTTTTTTATCTCAGAATTCTGACTTTTTTTCCTACAGAATTCTGAGATCATTTGTTTCTCATGTGGCCCTTATCCTCTTCCGTATATTTACATTGAAGGCTACTGATATTGGAGTCACGGAAACAAGACACTTCATAATAAAGTCATGTCAGAATTCTGACTTTTTTCTGTGAATTATTTTTGCTTTCCAAAAACTCTTCTCACGTGGCCTTCTCACATCCTCTTCTGTATTAATGATATATTTGTAGCCCAAGAAATTTTTCTGTGAATGTCACACCACAAGAGCTCTTTGTTTCAGAATGCATTGACACACTTTCCTCTTGCTCAACATGTTTCCTCATCATGTCCCTGTGCAGGTGTAGGCTACATCTGAAGGGAAAACCTCTGACTAACATGCAGTTGGGTGTGCATAAAATTACATATGCGTGTTACTTGTAATGTCTACAATTGGCAGCAGTCCCTATTGAGCACACTGTTAAGGTGTTGAGAATAACTTCATGATGATATATCACAGGTCCCACTGTTTAATAAGAGTAGCTAGAGGCCCTCATGCTCAAAGAAGAGGATATTCAGTGCCATTGTTGGACTTGTTATGGCAAAAGAAAGCAATAATTTGCAGTTATGCAACAGTTTTACTGCTCCGACCCACTTTTAATCAATGTAGGCTCTATGTCAGGGGTGTCAAACTCAAATACACAGTGGGCCAAAATTAAAAAATCGGTACTAGTAGAGGGCCGGACTGGTTCAATGTTTATTGCAGAACTTATTGAAATGAACTCATATTAAACCTGGAACTAACAAAGCTTAAATGGTTGCATATAAAAACAACATTAAACATTAAATAATCAGTTGCATTCATTTCTTATGGCTCTATCTGCAGCTTTTCTGGAGTCATTTCTTATGATTACATTTTTCCACAGGCCAACAACAGCTTCAAAAAAACTATTTCCCTCAAAGAAAAAAACAAACAGGCCCTGTTGTCGCAAGAAAGAAAGTGCAGAAGGAAACATCCATTGAAACTCAGTGTGCTGCTCTGTGATGCACACTAAGCCAGATACTTGGCATCTCATCTTGGGTGCAAGTTCATCAATGTTTGGGCTCAGGCTCTGAGTGGAGGAAATCCTCAGGATTGAGTGAAGGTGTGCGTGCAATATTACTAATAGTCATTAAAAATTATCCTGCGGGCCGAAATTAAATCCACCACGGGCCTGATTTGGCCCCCGGCCTTGTGTTTGACACATGTGGACTGAGTTTCTGAGATACTTTAACACTGCCAGAATAATCCCTCATTAATAGTCATATCCTTTTGGAATTCTGGTTAATCCTAAAATAATTACGTCCACCAAGTTAACAGAGAAAAAAAAAAGGTGGCGAGTTACTGTCAGATATCCATGTTTCATACAGTATCTAAAGTCATAGATATATTGGTTCATTTTTGCTATAGGTCAGGTTGAGGAATCATTCTTTACTCGCTGTTTCTCGTTTCTTATGGCTCAGGCATGTAGCCTTGGAGAGTTGCTGTTATCTCTTTCACAAAGAGGCAGCTCTGTCTCTTTCTATTGCCAGTTTATAAAATAGTGTATTGTCTAGAGACACCTGGAAGTCCAGATGATCAGATGTGCAAGTCCCTCTGGCAGACAACCTTGAGTTATGGACAAACAGTTCTATTGCCCTGCTTGTTTAGTCTTAATATGAAGAATGTTGATGTATTCTTTCTGAACCAGTTAGAATCTCTGACCGCTAAAGGTCTAAGCAAGTGATCTCGTTGTTTACTGCTCATGGAAAAGAACAAGGATCAACTCTGGATGGAATAATACAGGAGGTGGAGATTAGCTGTCTTGTGACTTAGGCTCCATTCCAATATGGCCCCTGCACCCTTTCACTCGACATCGAAGGATTCCCATGACTCTCAGAAGGAAAATAGAACAGCCATAATTAATTGGGGCCTTTTTTCATTTTTGTCAACATAAGCTATAATACTAATTAATGCAACCTATGCTAATTGTGCAAGCATAAACTAAGTGAATTCAAGATAAATGCAGTTGGAAAGTATGACTATCCTTCCTTCTGTTTCCATCAAGCCACTTAGACGACGTAAACAGACAGTTCTGGCGAGACCCCCATCACCCCAGCAACAAACTGTTCTGTCTGTTGGCGTCTGGCAGGCGTTACCGCAGCAACAGGACAAAGACCAGCAGCAGACCCAGAAACAGTTTCATCCCACAGACCATAAGACTGCTTAATGTCCCCATAAAGCATTCATCTCTCTTCATCTTACAATGAATTGATCTTAATTTCACTGTACAATATTTAATTTGACATGTTGTTCTTGTATATCTTATTCTGTTTTCATATATATAGACTCCTGCATTTACTTGGTCACTTACAACCTTCTCTGCATTATTTAGCTCATTGTATGTTTTTATTTTATAGTTTACTTCATCAGAATCAGAAACGGGCTTATCACCAGGTAGGTTGACACGTAGGAGGAATTTGACTCGGTGTCGTGGTGCATACATAAAAGTAAAACAAGAATTAAAAAACACAGATGGAGAACTATTTTAAGAACATAAAAAAGCAGTATTTACATTTAAACAGAATGGAATAAAATATGTGCAGTAAAAAAAATCGACATTACTTGCATATTGGCATCTTTCCCACAGGTTGCCCGTCTCTTTTGATACTGTCTTGACTTGAGGTCAGGATTTCTGTAGGTGGCCCTTCTCACAAAAGAAAAGTCTGTTTCTAACACTTCCTGTATGTGTTTTTTGCAGGTGGTTAATGAAATCTATCCAGTATGGACGTATTCCTACCTGGCGTTGCTGTTGCCTATCTTCCTGGCCACGGACTACCTGTGTTATAAGCCCGTGTTGGTGCTGCAGGCCACCAGCCTAGTGGTGACCTATGTGATTCTTCTGAAGGCGCGGGGCCTGCTGGCCATGCAGCTGCTGGAGTTCTTCTTCGGGCTGGCCACAGCCTCGGAGGTGGCGTACTACTCCTACATCTACAGCGTGGTGGAGCCGGCCCACTACCAGAAGGTGACGGGGTACTGCCGCAGCGTCACTCTGTTCGGCTCGGCGGCCGGCTCTCTGACCGGACAGCTGCTGCTCTCTTTGGCGAAAGTTCGGCTTGTGCACCTCGTCATCATCACTCTGGCATCATCCGCCGTGGCCTTCGTCGCTCCCTGGTTCCTGCCCATGCCCAAGAGGAGCTTGTTTTTCCACATGGGAGCGGGAGAGGGGGGGCCACGCAGCAGCACCACCCTGTTGGAGAAGGACTCGGAGAGAGAGCTGCCTCTGAACGGTGTCACCACAGTGAGTGACAGTCCTGCACAATAATCAATAACTCATTTTAACTTAAAGGTCTCCTATTATACTATTTTTAAGCATATATTATAGGCCAGATATATAAAAATATATAAAAAAACATGTCTATGATGTGTTTTGCTCAAAATACCAAACAGATCGCCCATTCTAGCCATGCCTCATATCCCTCTATTTCAGCCTTGTTAGAGAAGTGCTGATTCTGGGTCCGTAGCTTTAAAAAAGAAAAAAAGAAAGAGGGGGCGGAGCTTATACAGGAGAATTCTAACCAGATACTCCGATAATGCCCCCGTTTTTAGAGATTTGGGTAGGGAGGAACAGAGAGAGGGTTTTGTGTTCTGACACTTTGTGAGTTCCCCCGACACACCGGGGACACGATCATTTTGCATGATGGGAGACCTTTTTGAATTGAATTGACAGTCTGCTTCACAGCTCACATGATCCGTATTCCTCTGATGAAATGTGAATAACTTGACCTCCCTCTCTCCATGCAGATATCCAGTTCCTCTGAGACAGGAAGTCGGGGCAGTGGATTTGTGAAGGTGTTACGGATTCTCTTTGACGACTTCCTGCAGTGCTACAGAAGTGGGCCCCTGTTGGCCTGGTCTCTGTGGTGGGCTCTGGCCACCTGCGGCTACTTCCAGGTGGTCAACTACGCCCAGGCCCTGTGGGAGAACGTCCGTCCATCCCAGGACTACGAGATCTACAACGGCTACGTGGAGACGCTGTCCACACTGCTCGGTGAGGGCGCCGATTCATCAGGTGAAAAGTTGTGTAGCCATTTTGTTTTAGAGAGTGTCTAACTTCTTTTCTCTCCACAGGGGCCATGGCTGCTCTGCTGGTGGGCTGCCTGCCTCTGAGCTGGACTCAGTGGGGGGAGCTGGCTCTGTGTGTGCTCTCCCTGCTCATGGCTGTGTGTGTGTTTGTCATGGACACCGTGAGGAACATCTGGATGTGTTACGCCTCATACATCTTCTTCAGAGCCACCTACATGCTGCTCATCACCATGGCTACGTGAGTATCAAGAGACAATGAGCATGTTTATTTAGATTATTGTAAGACTGAAAGGAAGAAGACACAGGTTTTTGGCAACATCTTCATTATCTGGAACACTCTTAAATGAACCCTAAGGCTTCACAGGTAAAGACTTAAGGATAAAAAGGGAAGGGGAAAAGTAAAACTTGTATCCAAATTGTAGCAATCATTGACTTTAATGTCTCAAAATTAGACATAAGCAGTGGCGACTGGTCATTAGGGGCAGGTGGGGCACAGCCCCACCTAGTGTCAGCAGAAAGTATTACAAATAATGATTACAAAAATGCAAAAAAATAAATAAAAAAATATATAAAATATATTTTAAGATCATGTTTAATCATCTGATTCGTCTGTACATTGCTGTTTTAGTCTGTGTTCTTCTAATTAGTGTGTCTACAGTCACAGTGTGTGCCTATTGAGCTGTTTAGAGCCATGTGGGACAAAACCTGATTATGCCCCTTCCTCTCGCTGTGAAGTGAACGTGACTGTAAAAACTACACTGCGCATGCTCAGAGTATTTTGTAATGAAATGTGTGTGGCAAAAAAATAATGACCAGAGGGGCATGGAGCTACCATCCCCACCATACGTCATCTCAAATCATTCAGAGCTGATTGGCTGTAAGTACGTGTGCCGCGAAAAGTGTGCTGTGTGAAGAGGAGACGAGAGAGCTGCAGTGGCGCGTCCTAAAACCAGGAAGTAAGCACAAAAAAGCAATGAGATTTCTCCAGAGGATTTTAGAAAATAGCTCGAAATAAGATCTGTGGGAAACGTACCTGTTAGATAAATGCACGTTTTGATTAGCCGGATAACATCCACATGTCTACCCTACTTTTATAATTTTTTTATCATAAATCTATGGATTAGATTTATGATAGACTTTTGAAACTACAAGAACATAAGGAGGACTTTTACAAAAAAGTAATAGAAATGTTTGTCCAGAAGGATAGGCAAATGGACTTCATCTTCAAGTCAAGGTAAGACCGCCATTTTATTGAAAATGGGATCTTACTAAGAGAGAACAATTCAATATTTAAATGATAAAATTACATTTTTTTGGGTATCCTTTTGTTGAACTGTCTGTTTAAAATTAATCGAAGCATCAGACAAAAAAAGCTTTTGAAAATAATATTATATTTTGGTTTAGGTCAAAATATAATATTTGTAAACCTGAAGAGTCAGTGCCAGTGCCTCACCAGCCATGAACCTCACTGCACGTCACTGCAGAAGCTTATATATAGACATCTAAGTTTTTTGTGCCCCACCACTTTTGTACATATAAAAACGCCACTGGACATAAGGTCCACAATAAGAAGCACATTCATCTCTATGTGCTTTAATATGATTTGAAAAGTGTGGGAACGAGCCACTTAAAACCAAACATGAGCTGAATGGAATCATCAGGGGCTCTTGTTCTCCTTCTGCTTTCCTTTCTCTTAAGTGATGATTGTTTAGTTTGAGCAATAGGTCACGGGTGGATTTCGCTTTCTGAGCAACTGAGTATTATTTTAATTGTTTTAAAGTCATTGGAGACACTGGTCTTAACCTTCCTCACATTTTGAATAAACCTTCCCTTGTCCCGTCAGATACCAGATCGCAGCCAGCCTCAGCATGCAGCGCTACGCCCTGGTGTTCGGAGTGAACACTTTCATGGCGCTACTGCTGCAGTCGCTCCTCACCGTGGTGGTGGTGGACTCCGTCGGCCTCGGCCTCGATGTTTTCACACAGGTGACAAATCAGATTTCACAATATCAATATTGCCAAATACCAAAGATACCTAAGTTTTGTGTTAGAAATGTTTAGTACCCCAGCACATAGAAACTGACGGATGCTAACTTGCATATGTTGGGCAATTTGCACAATTAGCATCAATTGCATTCATTAGCATTATTAGCATTATAGCCTACAGTATGTAGACAATAGTTCTACAATGGCTTGGCCGATTTTGGAGTAATTTGGGGGGTTATTAAGGGAGCTGAGAATTCTGAAATTTCCAGGATCAATAATGGCAGTCTTAACCAGAAAATGCCAATTTCTGTACTCTGGGGACTGATTTTGATTCAATTTAGAAGATTTAGGGCAGTCTGGATCATTTGGATCTATCTATTTATTTGTAAAAATAATTGTTATTATATGTTATATTTATCTTGTGCGCTCTATATCCAAAGATTGCAACACTACTCATGGTAGTCAAAATCCGTCCACTGAGTACAAATATGGCCACTTTCTGGTTAAAACTGCCATTTTTGATACTTAAAATGTCAGAAATCGATTGAGCATCCTCAATAATCCATAAGTAATATATTATAAGTCATTTTTTTTTACTATTGTCTGCATAGGCTAGAACGCACTTATGCTAATTGTGCAAATTGCCCAGCATATGCATCGGGCTGTCTCTGTGCTAGGGACCTGTACTATACATTTTTAATATAAAACTTTGGGCTACTTTCTGGGGTCACTATGCCCACATGTTGGCCATGCTATTTCTCTACACCCCGCAGGGTTAATTTACTAACTACCTTGTTTCCTTCCCTTAGTTCCTCATCTATGGCTGCTACTTTGCTGTCATTTCTCTGGTGTTCCTCCTCGCTGGTGTGTGCAAACTGGCCTCCAGGAGGCGCTGCAGGCAGGGGGGGGCTGACAGCCCAGAGTCAGACTCTCCTTCAACACAGGATGCCAGCTCCACTAGATAGGCCTTTATCATAGGTATCAATTATCTTGATATGCTTGTAGTGATGGGAATTCCGGCTCTTCTTGGTGAGCCGGATCATTTGGCTCGGCTCACCAAGAAGAGCCGGCTCTTTCGGCTCCCAAACGGCTCTTCAGTTTACCACATATTATACCTTTTATAATTCAATCAAATGTAGCCCTGTTTTGACTCATGATTTATATGTGTACACATATCACTTACATTATTCAATACATCCTTTGTACTGAAGTATTCAAAAGTAAAAATTACATGTTTAATATCAATTATTTGCTGTGGCCAGTTTTCATTGCATTTACAGACCCTTGTATCTCTCTGATACCACCCAATGAATGCACTGACTTGCTTGAACCACGCTACACAAAGCAGATAGCAACACCTATAAAAAACCAGAGGTGACAGGGCTTTCAGTGTTGCAGCTCCCAGACTGTGGAACAGCCTCCCAGTACATATCCGGACTGCTGAGTCTATTGAACTTTTTAAATCTCAGCTAAAAACTCACCTCTTTGCACTGGCTTTTAATACTAGTTGAACATTACATTTTTACATTTGTATGTGTTTTTTTTAAATATTTTTCTAGTTATTGTGCTTTTTATCATGTTTTTAATTATTGTTTTATTATTGTACTCCCATTGTGTTATTTAATATGTATTGCCTGTACAGCACTTTGGTCAACTGAAGGTTGTTTTAAATGGGCTATATAAATAAATAAAGATTGAGATTGAGATAAAAACTTAAGCATAGACATTTAAAAAAAGGGGCTACTGTATCGACATTTTAAAATTATATTTAAAGAAAAGGCCCTGACAAAACAGCAGGGCTCTATTTCAGTATTAACTATAGAAAAAAAGACAGCAACAGCTGGCATCAAATCTTTGCTGAGCCCAAGGATAATCATAAATAAATAACATAGTGAAAATAAATATATTGCAATGCTCAGTACAGCAGCATCCAACAGTCTCTAATCCTTGGATATTACATGTCACTGCATGCATGCACGGAGCAGCTGTAGCGCGGAGATCATCATATCATTCTGTCTTGTATTACTTAACAACAAAATAACAAAAAAAAACGGCTCGTTCGCGGGCGCGAGCCGGCTCCCGTCGTTCACTTAAAAGAGCCGGCTCTTTGAGCCGGCTCGTTCGCGACCGACACATCACTATATGCTTGAGCACCATGGGTTCACGGAAGAGGGTTAGTGCCACATAGGGCTGCACGATTTGGGGAAATAATCTAATTGCGATTTTTCTGACAGATATTGCGATTCGATTTGCGATATGTTTTTTTTAAGCGACCCAACGGAAGTTTATTGTAAAATGCGGCCATATCTCCGGCTAGGAAGGTCGTATCAACGTGCTCCCGTCTCTAGCACCGCCGCAGCCCGAGCTACGAGTGAAAGAACTAAACTTACATGAAACTTCCCTAGCCCTCGTGCCACATAAGAAACATGTAGAAATGACTGCTGGTAGGAAATGTACAATGGGTTAATTCCAATAGGTTTGGTAAAAACCAACTTCCTGCTGCTTCTGAGTGAAGATACCTGAGAGAGCACATGTTCAGAATGACCAAAACGAGTTGCGTGATAATCACTCTTATGTTTACTCACACTTTTATTTTCATTCAAGTGTGAGTATTAAAAAAAAAGACTAGTAATGCAGCTTTAAAAAAACTGCTGATCACAGATGAAAGGCTTCATCGGATATATGATATTGAAAAATGTTTACGAATGTTCAGAATTCGTAAGAAGTCAGTGCCTTAATGTCAAGGCAATAGCTAAATGAACACTAAGGATGGTTCCTTCCTAACGGTACTGCTGCTCTTGTGTTACTGCGACACCAGCCTTTATTCTGAAGAAACTGTTTTTGTTATTCCCTTGTGTAATTGCATAGATTGTGTATTGGAGTTTATCAATATGAATCAATGTGACTGACAGTATATTATATTGTTTGATGTTACCCTGTGGGGATCATGGATGTTTAATAGATGGATTTATACGAAATGTACTTATGTATGTTAGAATTGTATACATGTTTATTTAAGTTCAAGTTTTTAAGCTCACTATCACTTCGATTTTTGACGTTGTAAATGCAACCAGTAGAAGTAAAAGCTAACGTCAGTCTATAGAAAAACGACACATGGCTGCGCACCACCACGGCTGATGTTGGGCTATAAAAGAACTACTACTGTAAAACAGAAATAAGTAAATGTATTTTAAGCATATGGCCTTTTGCTGTGCGAATGGGCCCCGCCCCGCTGCTGTAGTGCTCCACATGTTAAAGTTGTCTCATGGTGATCACACTGAACACAAATATCTAAACTATCTGCTGTGCCATGTGTGTGTGAATGTTTCCATTGACTGTTAAAATAAACAATAACTGTAGAATTCTTTGCACAATCTTTTACCTGCACTACGCAAAGTGAAACATTCCTAGTTGCTGTCTCTATGCAAAAATGATATGCCTAATAAACATAATATTTTGTTATGGGTGTGTGTTTTTACTGTTCCTTTCATTTCATTATATATTCAAATGGACAGAAATAACATCTATCCAATGTTGTAGCCACACTTCAGATTAACACTAATGTCAGCATGTTCATATCATAGCATGGTACTGTGAGCATGTCAAAATAAACACATTTGCTCATTAAAAGTAAGCTGGAATAGAAAAGTAGTAGAATGTTTTAGTTCTTGCCAAACAAAGCAGTTTATTAGACATGTTTAGCTTTAATTTAACAATAAATCCAAATAAACCAACATTTAATGACAGGTTTTAATGCTATATAATAGGAAAACAAGTGGGTGAATACTTTTGCAAGGCGGTTTACATGATGTGTAATCAGGTCATTTCCTGTTCCTCAGAAACACTGTCCTGTGGTCCTTTAAACACATAATGAATACACGTCCATTTCGATTTAATAGTAAAGATTCCATTCCTTTACCCATCACAGGCTGCTCGATGCCTTTGAGGGTGTGTGTGTGTGTCAGGTGAGGCTCCAGATGACAGTGAGCATGGACATGATGCCATTAAGGACAGCGACGCCAAAACCCATGTTGAAACCAGATGCATCTCTAGAAGAAAAACACAGATTCCTGCTTTTAAAATGTTGTATCCCTTAACTGCTGTCGGCTAGTGAGGTTATTCTGATCCACAATGATTGGATGTTGTTTAATATTCAGATATCAGTCTGATATATTGCTTTTTTTACCTGAAGTGTGCCGGTTTCAGCGGTTTTATGGATAAAATGCCAGGCTGGTACGAGTCCAGGTAGCTGAGGGTCCACGAGAAGACACAACAGATACATCCCACTGATACTGACAGCACCAGGATACTCCAAAAACCTACAAACACACACACTGAACAATTACTGTACATAATGATATATTGATACTTGTAATACAATACTCTATTCATGTGTTCAACAGATCAGTAAATCTGGGACTAAATGAACAAATCTCCATTTTTACCCAGCATCCTTTGTTCAGTCCCGTCCTCCCCTCTCACTCTTTCTGCACGCAGCTCTGAAACAGAAAAACTGAATTATGAGGAAAAAAATCTGACTTCTCAGAATTTTTAAAAACATTTTTCTGCAATGAGTACTTTTACCCCGAATACTTTAGGTAGATTTTCCTAATCATACTCAAATACTTTTACTTAAGTGCCATTCTTGATGCAGTACTGTAAATCTAGTATATTCACAGTTTGGTATTACAGTAGTAGCTACTTGTAGGCTACTCAAGTAAATACTCGGACTACTTTATCCACCACTGATTATTTGTAGCTTATAGTCAAGTTTCAGAAAACTGTATGTAAAAGTAGCAGTTTGCACATCATTGTGTGCGCGAGACACACCTCTGCTCTGTCCACAGGCGCACGCGCTTACCTTTGAGTATGGGGTAGATGAGAGCGCACACACAGCCCACAGCGGCCGCAGCTGCAGCGGAGCCCAGGACTGACAGCACGAGCACCGGCCACGGTTTAAAGCCGCTCCGGTTGGTGACCGTTGGTCCCGCTCTTCCACATTCATTCTCTCCTGACAGGAGACTCTCCCCGGGTCTCACAGAAGGACAGTCTCTGTGCTCCATGTCCGGAAATGCCTCTGAAAAGTTCCCCGTGCCTCTCTTGACGCACTTTAACGTAACTTGCTTTTACGTTATATTGGACAGATAGCGTATTAACTGACTCCTTTACGAGACAGACTATATGTGTAAAAAAGTGCACATTATAAAAATGACTGAGCGTCCCGGAGGAGCATCAGGAATGTTTAGTCCTTTAGTCGCACTTCCGCACACATAATTGTCCCTCGGGCTATTCCGTCACTGTAGTTGTATTTAGGAGAGGAGCATCCTATCAGAGCTTTTATTTTGAAAGGAACGGTATCTCATAGGCAGAAATGTGTACATTTATTTTGAAAATAACAAACCGGAAAAGGTGTTGACGCATTATTGTTGTCTGTCAACAGCAGTGATCAGATCTACTTGAGACGCCACAAAGCCCACCTGGTGACCATAAGGAAACTAAACATCACGGTACGTTTAATACAAATCCACTGTGCTGCTTTGGTACTGTTATAGAAAAGGCGGGAGCACAATGGTCGCGTGATCATTTATTTGTCGTGTACTCAGTCGTTCAGTACCACGGGGCTACATGTAGTGGTAACATTGGTTTGTGACGTTACTCTGCTGCTGCTTTAGCTAAGAGTAGTCGTTCTCTTTACCCATTAATGTCCACACAGCGTTCGTACTACATGTATGTGTATCCGTATCTGCATACTGCTACTAGCTTGGCAGCATTTAGCTTTTCTAAAGCACCAGCCAAAATGACGGACCTGTTATTGTTAAACGGACTTTCCGGGTAAAGTAAATGAGCTATCTGACCGCTCACCTGTTGCTCTTATTAGCAGACATGATCAATAGCTATCGTGAGATCGTACTTCCCCATGTACAGATAAACTCCACTTAGCATTACATTGTACACATTTACAGTTGAAATGATCACTGCTTTATTGTCCTTGTGTCTTTCACAACATAATCTATCAGCATTTAATTATCAAATGTTTCACCTCAAATGCAAAATATAAAAAAGGTGGACCTCCTTGGTGTAAAATTACCCGGATGTTCTTCATCCATAGAGCAACCAAGCATCCCCTCCTTTACCTGTAGGACTCAGGCCTGACTAGCTGATTATAGAAATCTTGAACCAAATAACTAAATAAAACGAAGATATTTATTATTGGATTTTGGAATATTGCAGACTATATTTACATGGAGAGGGTGAAATTGCACCATGTCAGTGTTACAGTAGGGGGACACTAAGGTAATTGTAAAATTAATGTAATAATCAGAATACATTTTTGATTTAAAATAGATTGAACAGATCATTGAATCATATCATTTGTTGTTGTTGTGTGTGTGACCTGTTTTGACATTTCAAGAATTTAATGCAGATCAATAAGCAGAACCAGATTGGCAGTCATTCATTTTCAAATTACACCCAACCCTTTTATGTGTTTGACTTGTGGTGGAGAATTAGGCAATAGAGCTTAGTCATGTGAAGATGATCTCGGTGATGTGTGTCTTTTGCTCTAACCGATACTGGCTCTCCTGCTGTGCGAGCAAAATAGTGTTGTGTCCAGGAAAAAACAAAAAAAAGAGGAACCTGTTATTGTTAAAATCCAAAATCCTAATCCCGATGCCCTCCCTGACAGCTTGTGACTCAAAACAGGCCAAGTGTGTGTGGTTGTGTGTCTCAATATGTGTGTGTCTCTGGTTGGTTAGCAGCAATAGGCTGACTGTTGGTTAGATATGTATTTAAAGCAACATGCTGTCAGCAACTATAACATCACATACTGTAGAAGAGGGAGACAAGGCTGTGTGTGGGGGTGTGCGTGTAGCAGTATGTGGGTAAATATGTGGGGGTTGGGAGATTATGAGTGTGAGTATATAAAACGGGGAGAGAGTTAATATGTGAGAAGAGGAAGAGCTTTATTTGAAGCAGTTATATTATGCTAATGTCACGGTCTCACTGAGCTTTACAGTGTGCAGTCAAGCTGCTTGAGGCAGTATTTCAATAGTCATCTGCAGAGGACTCCAGCACAGAGCCGTCACATGCTTCACTCAGAAGGACAGTGTACTGTGGCTTTGTGGTAGGAAAATAACATAAAAAGACAAAGCAGAATGTTAGTTGCAGCTAGGGCTGGGCGGTACTGTATGACAAAAAACTCATATCACAGTATATTTCCAAATGATCACGATATATCACAGTATTTATTTATTTTTCATTGGTTGGAAATGTATTTACATTGACACGTTTTGGCCCCACAAAATGGGTGGCCCCCAACAATAACAGATTTTATACAAATAGAAATTAGCGCATTAAATAAATAAATGTCCTGAAATGTTCCCATACCCTGCTGACCTTCGGTGTCTCTGTCTCCTGCAGGACTTTGGCTTCTCCTCTGTGGAAGTTGCAGCTGTGTGTGGTGTGTGAGTGTGTGCGTGTGTGTGTGTGTGTAGGGCTTTTCTTCTGCAGCGTGATGTCTTCAGAGCTGCTGGTAGATCTGGGCGAAGACCCAACGACGGCACAGTTGGGACAGCTGAAGCTGACAACGATAGAGGACCAGCAGTGGCCCGCAGATGAGACCACTCTCAGCAAGTCGGGTGAGAACACGTTAGAGACCCCCTAACCCTTACCATAATCTTATTGACATTCACTATGGCTAACGGTCACATCTTAATATCTAACCTTAACCTTTGAACTATGAGGTCAGGACTCAGATGTGTGTGTGTGTGTTTCAGAGACCGATATGTCCCAGCGCTTCGATGCCGACTCCCCCCACCTGTCCTGGGACCATCCCTTCTATGACATCGCCCGGCATCAAATCATTGAAGTTGCAGGTCGGTCCTTCAAAACATTTATTTTCAAAGCACTTTTGTTTATTAATTAAGTACAAAATAATCCACACGTAAGCTTCACAAAGAAATGAATAAAGAGTAAGCTTCTCAAAGATATTTTGAGCCTTTAGCTTCGCAGTGGCCTAACAGTGGTGACGCAGAGCCACCGTTACAGAGTTCATTTAAAGGTCACTTTAAGGGCTGTTCTGTATATATCTGAGACCTGTAATATACTGTTGAAAATGAGTATAATAGGGGACCTTTCATTCTTAGCATTAGCTTTTGACTTCAAAATCATAAAGTGGTGTTAACATGTGGAGATTATGCGGCTGAAAGCAACATGTAAGGATGTTGATCATGTGTTGGCCAAAGATCTTAGTTTCTGTAATAATCCAACATCATCGTTACTTCCTCACTTTGGCTCTCTTCAGTTGCAAACTTAAACCAGAATGTTGAAAATATTTCTTCACACATATCTTTGGGTGCATCAGAGATATATGTGTGGGACCATATTTAATTATGTGGGGACTGAAGAATACCTTTTGTGTAGATGATCATTGGTATGCCAAAATACATTTAGTGAGACTGATCTGAATCTGTTCATCTTTAACCAACACTATTTCACACTTAAATGTAGGGATGGGTATCGTTAAGGTTTTAACGGTACCGCTTATCGATCCGGTCTTTTAACGGTACTTTTATCGGTTCTTTTGGAGAAAAAAATAAGGTAAACTAACTAAACAAATTGTGAACAAAACTAACATTGCTTTTTATTTAAATTAAATACATAATATTTCACATCAAAAGAAACAACAATGTTTTAACAAATGGTATTAAATAATCTGATGACAGAATTGTAAACAGAATAGCTGAAACTTCCATCCCTACTTAAATGTGCAGGTCAATGTGTAACATTTGGAGTGCTTATCAACTTATTTAACAGCAGCACCAGTGTTTTTGAAACAACAGCAGGTCATGATAATGTTGAATCCATGTGTGTTTTCTGTTTGTAGGTGATGATAACTTTGGCAGGAAGGTGATAGTGTTTAACGCATGTAGGATGCCTCCACATCACCAACTGGACCATCACAAGCTGCTGATGTAAGAACCAGTAAACATCTAAATGCACTCCAAATACACATGTATTTAAATGAAAGTGACATGTTTTATTATTCTCATTGCAGGTATCTTAAAGGAACACTGGATCAGTATGTTGAAAGTGATTACACTCTGATCTATTTCCATCATGGGCTGACCAGTGAAAACAAACCCTCTCTCAGCTGGCTGCGGGATGCATACAGGGAGTTTGACAGAAAGTAAGCGCATCGACTCACATGACAAGTGTTCCTGATCTGCTGTGTCAACATACCATCCTCAAAAACCCTCACAAGGCATTTTCAAATGTTTCTATGACAACAATATGTTGACAACGCATCACTGCTTTTACAAGACGGACTAGATTAGCTCCCTTGGATTTAATGATCAGTCTAACAGCTGTGGAGTACGGTTTGCAAAAGTCACAGCATGACTAATTAAACAACTATGGGAGATGATAGAACAAACTTCTCAAGTTCATGTGAAATAAAGCACACTCTATACACCGTTATGTAGGGATGGGTATCGTTAAGGTTTTAACGGTACTACTTTTATCGATCTGGTCTTTTAACGGTACTTTTATCGGTTCTTTTGAAGAAAAAATTAGGTAAACAAATTGTGAACAAAACTAACATTGCTTTTTATTTAAATGAAATACATAATATTTCACATCAAAAGAAACAACAACGTTTTAACAAATGGTATTAAATAATCTGATGACAGAACTGTAAACAGAATAGCTGAAACTTTAACAAAATAACTAACTCAGTTACCTCTAATCATTAACCCATGTTTGTATCATTGAGTTAGCTCCGTGTGTTGCTGCTAGCACACATAATACCTGACGTGGAAACGTTACTCGTGGATGGGGCTACAGAGCTACTAGAAAGACAGTCGGTGCATTCCTCCGTCTGGATGTGGAGCACTTTTGCTAAATGTTTAGACAAATTGCTCGTGTTACCGCCCTTACATGCTAAACTCTTATTGCACTTTTGGTAACGAGCATTGTCCACATGGAGACGGGGAAAGTTTAACCACACCTCGGAGCGCGTTCTCTCCGCCATCTCCTCCGTGTGTGTGTGTTGCTGCATGTAGCAGCTGCGTGTGTGTAAACTGCCCCGCCTCCTCGCACACAGGCGGGGGGGAGAGATCGAAAATACTAACAATAATCATAGACGCATTTTGCAGTCTTTTTGCGTGTTAGAAACGGAGTTGGCGACACTAAAACTGCAATATAATGTTTGTGTAGCAATAATACATATTACATATATTTGTTACATGTCTCCAGTACCCATAAAAAGACCGATAACGTCGGAGCTTAACGGTACCACGGTCTTTAATAATTCAGCCCCGGGGCCCGTTTAATACCGGGACTCGGTACCCATCCCTACAGTTATGTGTATTTTATATAAATGAATTTACAATATAAGACACATTTCAATCCATCTACACATCTTTTTCTCTACCCTTGACCTCCTTGCCTATTGCATCCTCCATTTAGGAGTGTTTATCATTGATACAAAATAGTTTTAGAAAACAAAACTTGCTATTTGAGCATGACACCAACATCTGAGATGTAGTTGTGATGTTTTAAAGTACTATATTATCTGCAGTTTGGCTAAATATGTGGTACTTGTATATGTATTATATATGGAACAATACATCAACATGCAGAAACATTGAGCTAGAAATCGAAGGGTCAATCTTAACGGTGGTTTTAAAGTGATCCGTACAGCGCATGCCTCAGTGAAATGAACAGATACGATACCTCAGAACCTTATCCTTGTCACCTGGACCTTATAGAATATTCTCTGTGTTTCAGGTATAAGAAGAACATCAAGGCGTTGTATATCGTCCACCCTACCATGTTCATCAAGACTCTACTGATCCTCTTCAAACCATTGATCAGGTTCTCTTTGTTTGTAAAGTTACACATATTATTACACAGGACAGAAATGTACTTTGCCAAATGCAAGTATTAGATTTTCTTCACCCTTTCAGAATGTAAGCCACTCTTGTTTGACACTTTTCTTGTCAGCAGGACACTTTGAGTTGAAATTGAGTTTTAATATACTGCAATATTTCAAACTGACCTGCTGTCAAACAAATGTCTTCTTTAGACAAGATGCCACCGAACACACACATTGGCTTTTCTGTTACTGCTCCATCAGAAATGCCAACTTGTTGCAGCTGTAGTAAATGTGTGTAACTTATATCGAGCATTATTGTAAGCCAATATACTGTAAATATATTGCGATTCTTTAATCAGAAGGTCATCGGCTTAATCATTATTGTTTACCTCAGATGGCAACAATAGTGACATTTATTTAAAGGTCACCTATTTGGCAGAATCCTCTTTTCCATTTTAACCGCTGGATGTCCTCTCTCTCTCTCTCTCTGTCTCTGTCTCTGTCTCTGTCTCTGTCTCTGTCTGTCTCTCTCTCTGTCTCTCTGTCTGCAGTCTTAAGTTTGGCAGGAAGATAAACTACGTGAGTTATCTGAGTGAGCTGGAGGATGTGGTGAAGTGTGAGCAGCTGATCATTCCTGCCCGGGTCAAAGAGTAAGAGCTGATCCAAATGTACTTCTGCAAAATCTCTTTAAAATGATACACAAGTCATATCTGCTATTGATTTCCTATCTGTGTACACCCTGCACACATTGATGGTTCTGAAGTCATTTGTTTGATTACTGTCTCTACTTTCAATCCCACCCTGAGCCATAACTGATCTTTTGGTTTGTTTCTGTGCAAGGTACGACAACAAGTTGTCTCTGAAATCAGGCGCTGAGCCCCCCGTGTCTCCTCTTCATAGCCCCCCCCTCCCCAACCAGGTGTTTGGGGTGCCACTTGCAATGTAAGTGACCACATCTCTGCTGGTGTGTGTGTTAGATCTACTGATATTAGGTACTTCCCTTTAAGCAACTGTCTACTGGGTTACTTCTTTACTCTAAATGCTAAACGAAGGATGGTTACTGTATTAAAGACAGTATATACTTTCAATAATTAACTCTATGGTACATGTGTGTATGTCAGACTCAAACAAAGGAGTCCAGATGAGGATCCAGTTCCCGTGGTGATGAGAGACACCATCAATTTCCTTTCAGAGCAAGGTAACTCTTCTTCTGTTGGTCAAATTCGAGACACAGAATTGATCATTTTGTCCTCAGTAATGGATTGTCTTTCTCTCTGTTAGGTTTGGAGATTGAAGGGATCTTCAGACGTTCTGCTAACGTGACGTTGGTGAAGGAGACGCAGCTCCAGTACAACTCGGGTATGATCAATGACCTGGTTACATTCTATTCATCTCTATTGAGCAACAAGGAAGTGTCTTTTAACTTCCCGTCTACAGGGGAAGTGGTGAAGACTCATGGGTGTATGAAGCGCAGAAAAACCACTAGTGATGAGTGCAGTGTATTTGGAGTTAGGATGGACTCAGCGGTGATGTGTGTTTGTGTGTTTTCTAGGGGCAACTGTGAATTTCAGAGAGATGGAAGATGTCCACTTGGCTGCTGTGATCCTGAAGACGTTCCTGAGGGAGCTGCCTGAGCCCCTCCTCACCTACCAGCTCTACAACGACATCGTCAACTTCAGCTGTATGTTGGAATTACACTCTTTTCATTTCAGCGTCAGAGTTTCTAAGAATCTCATTCTGCTGGAATTGGATGGAAACTATAATTATTCAGACACAAATAATATCAACTTTACAACTTTGAAGTATGAGGTAGCAGGATCAGAGTTATCCCTATCAGGTTCCTTAACTTTAGTTATGACTATTGCATTTTGGATTGTCAATTCTGCGCTAATATAATATATTTCATTACACATTTTTTGAAAAGTACTTACAGTACTTATACATTTGATAGTAATCAAGATTTGATCAAAGATTCAGATTCATACCCCTGCAAAGACTTTGCATATATAGATGTTTTTTAATTAATTTTGTACTCTTTATTTGGACTCACATAGTATTGATAATACAGTTTGATTGACAGATCATTCTATTAAGTGCCCCAAAAATAGAAAACAAAACGTAATAATAATAAATAGAAAGTAAACAGACCTGAGAAGCAGGTTTAATATTATACAGAGGTTGTTTGAAATGAAAATTAAGTCTGAGTGTACAGAAGCACAATCAGACAAAGGAGATGGCAGCCTGTTGCAGCAGCTTCCACTTTGTTTCCTGATTATTATTTTTTGGGATTTTCTTTTAGGTTTATATTTATTTTATTTGTATTTTCTATTCTATTATTTAAGTCATTTTGTCATTCCTGAAGATTTACTGTCAACAGCTTCTTTCTATCTGGAATATGTATCGCTGCCTCTGTCTCCATGCTCCCTCCAGTGTCCTGAGCTCTGATTGGTGCTTGTGTTGTGTTCAGCTGTACCCACTGACAGCCAGGTGGAGCAGCTGAAGACCCTGATGGAGTCTCTGCCAGAGGAGAACAACGTGTCACTGCGGTACCTCATCTCATTCCTGGCCCAGGTACAGCTGATGGAACACACCTATTATATATTAGAGAATATCAGCAGCTGGTCTGTAATCACCAGTAACCTGTGTGTGTGTGTGTGTGTGTGTGTGTGTGTGTGTGTGTGTGTGTGTGTGTTCAGGTGTCAGCCAACAGTGAGGTGAATAAGATGACCAACAGTAACCTGGCTGTGGTGTTTGGGCCTAACCTGCTCTGGGGGCGGGACAACGCTATGTCACTCAGTGCCATTGGGCCAATCAACAACTTCACCAGAATCCTGCTGGACCACCAGCATCTGGTCTTCACCTAAACCCCCCCCACCCCCCTCCACCCTCCACCCTGCAGGCTCTCTTCCAGTCAGTCCATCAAAACAGTAGACACTCTGAAAATTCATTCTGCACACACCATTCTCTACATTCTGATTAGCATTGTCTCTATATATAGAGCCTCCATTTCCATGTGGCTCGAGGCACCAAGAAGGATATAGGAGAAATATTAGACTGCAGGCAAATAACCCTTACAATAAACGCGTTATAGCACACACTTCAACAGGAAATACTTTGTTGGCTTGCCCACATTCACACTGGCTCACTTTGGGATGACAGGAATTTGGAGACGCTGATTCAACTTCAAAGTGGCGAGTCATATATTCTTTCTGCTTCTGCTGTCTGTCATTCAGCCTCATGATGTAACGGTAATCATGAACAAACCAAAAACAAGATTATATAGATTTACAGAAATAACCACTTTGAATAAACTCACAGCAGATATTAACAGAATAAAAGAAGGTGGCGATATCCTTCATTTTGGTCACAAATAGAAAAAAGAGAGAAAAAAGTTTCACATGTATCCTCCTCCCTAGATGAACATGAAGATACAATTCAGGCTAGCACACTTTTAAGTGTTGTACCATGATCAGTTTATCTTCCTTGGCTTAAATCAAGTAAAATATGAGTTGTTGGATCCGGTGTGAATGCATGGTGAGTCTCACACACCTACTGTACAGCTCTGTCCCAACCAACCTACATGTTTGTGTTTATATTGTATTTAGGCGTCTCTGGGCCGCCCTATCATGTTTAACTTCTATACACAGATGAATAGCAGTTGGACTTCCCTGTATACCTCTGCCATAACACCTGTAGGCAGGGCGATACATCCTCATTTTTAGGTGCAGATTCAAAAAACCAAACGGCCTCTCTGTTATGATGCCAAACTTAAAGATTACGGAGGTGCGTGAACGTCTCAGGTTAATTTAAATTCTGACTTTTTTCAAAATATTCTGAGATTAAAGTCAGAATTCTGGTCACATCCCAAACGTTTTTTCCGTGGAACATCATATTCCTTTACACAATTTGACGCCCTGTTGACTTTTGGTTAATGCTTATGCCGCTGATGAAGTTAGTTTAAGCTGTATAAGGGTTTCTGGTGATAATGGTCTCTTAGTCATGGGTAAACCACAACAAGACGTGCACTTATATAACACACACATGCACTTTTTTATATAGCCACAAATGCTTGATAGGGATTTTCTTGCTGCCACTGTATGGGGGCTATTTTTAAGTATTGTTCACACATTATCCCCTCAGACCAGTGATAAGGTGTTTTCCGAAATGACCAGACTAAATACATTATTAAGTATTAAATTGATATTAGCCATAAGCTCAGCTGTAACAGTCTGCTAAATACAGATTACACATTTGATTAATTAGAGAGCCACCATCAGGTTATTTGAGCATGACAGAAAGCTGTTCTTTAGGACTTTAATCACAAAGTTTAAGACTTGACCGATCAGACCGAGAAGTGTGACGTCAAGTCAAACTGAAACCCAAGAGCCAAAACTCCATCACTCTTTGCTTTGCAGCCTTTGCTTACTGGGTGTCATTACTGCACTAGTGTGTGTTAATGTAGCTTAAGGTAGTGATTCCAAACGCTCCATGTTCACTTAAAATCTTTTCATCAGGTGTAATTCCCTACCAACAAGTGTTCCTGCAGTTGTTGTGAGTGGTGCCTCTTCATTCAGTTCCCAAAGCCTTAAATCAAATAGCTCCTTTTCTGCCATCTGTCTCCAATCTCAGCTCATCTAAAGCATTGGGTTCCATGTCAAATCAAAACATGTATTCCTGAGTTAGTGTTCTTTTGAACTATAGTTGTATAGTGTTATGCTGTATATGACCTTATCTGAAAACAGTTAGTTGTTTGACCTCTGTGATCAGTTGTGTCTCCTTTCCTGTAGTTGTGCTCTTAATGTTAAGTCTCCTGGCCAAACTGTGCATTGAATCAGTCGTGTCTGTTTGTCAATAGCCAAAATACTAGCCTTGGGTTAATATAAGTATTGTATTTTTTTACGATGCTTAATATAATGTGACTGAAAAGCACCAGAGATTAAGTTGACTGAAGCTGAAAAACAATCGTTAATGTTGTAACTCCCAGTCCCGTCAATATAGATGCATATGGGTGTGTGTTGATGCTAACTTAGCTGGACACTGGACAGTTGAGTAGAAAAAATGTTGGGATTTAAATATTAAGTGTAGTAGAATAACTCCTATCAGTGTGTGTGTGCGTGTGTATTATTGTTGTCAAGTGCGATGGTATCTCCGATCTTGGTGATGTTCATTATTTGATATGATGGGAAAGTTGTACAGCTTATTGTAAAGAAACAAAAATGATATGAACGTTTTTCATATCATCTCAGAGGTACAAGTTTGTCTTTGATAACAGAAAATGTATATGTGTGTGTGACCATGTGCATGCCCTTGCCTTATTTGTTCCACCCAAGTGATCATGTGGATTAGCCATTGAAGTGCCAGTGTGCCGTTCTGCCATAGATTCTAACATGGGCTCAACAGAGCTTTGTGCATTTTTCTGTACTTACATTTGCTGTTTTGAGCACATAAGTGTGTCCCAATAGTATGGCAAAATGTGTACCTGGTACACCCAAAAAGTTGATACTAGATACTGTGCGGTTGCTATGGTAAAAAAAACAGCACTACGAATAAAAGTGCTACACATTGTTATTTTTCCTAAGTAACGTACCACTATAATGGTGTCAAAAAGAAGCAAGCATTCATTGTATAGGGCTAATTGAGCAGTCTGGAATGATTTGGTACTATGTTGTTGCTCGAGAGCTAGCTAGCTAGCTAACAGCTAATAGTCACCTCACGGCATTTGACATGTGCAATTTGAGACAATGCTACATGGTGGAAATTCATGTTCACAGTGCGTGACATACAGTGTACAGACACAACGTTGGTGTTTGTTTGTTGACAGCATCAACAACAGGACTGAGGTGCCTTGAACAGAAAACCCAGAGGGGACAATGGAGACTCCAAGGCTTCTTGAACCCAGCTCTAATGTGACTCATGATCGCAAATCATTTCTGGTATTACTTAATAATTGTACAATTTCAATATGGATTAGTCATTTTGTTTACCCTGATGTATCTCTCTTAGCATGGCCCTACTGCTCCCAAAGCGCACCTTATCATTTATTTGGCTTTCAGTCTTTGATCCTAGAATTCCTACAATATCTAGTCAACCAAATAATACATTACAATTCATGAACATTTTCAAATTATCATTTTGGATCACTTTTTATTTGATATGATGTTTCACAACCTATTCCTCAACTTTCTGATCTGACTAGATAAAAGTTATTTTTGAATGGAGCATTTGAATTGTACAGTAATATCAACAAAGTACAATTCTACGATATCATTGGTTCTCGTCAACTCTGCTGATCAATACCTGTCATCATGGGCAACCTTACTATTGATTAGGTTTCTGGGTGGATATATTGAGAGGTGCTCTTATTTTCTTAACCACTTTCATTCAGCAATTACTTTTGATATGTTGTGGATATTTGTTATATGTATTATTATAATGGTAAAAAAACTGTAATTTCAATGTGTGCAAAGAATAAACAAATGGTAAAAGCACGCTCAGGTTTTTACTGTTGTTTTTAAATTGTAAAAAATAAACCAATTTTAAACATTTAACACAAATATATATTTTTATACACACAGATACATTTATTTTAATACATTGAAATAGTTATATTTTGGTTTATTTTTTCATTCATGCTATGCTATGACTTTTTTTCACTAAAAACTATTCAATTACATTTCAGGTTTTTTATAGACCTTTGAATGTCTTTTTAAAGTATCATTTTGTTTTTTATATCTTTTTTTGATGTACTATGCTATGATTAAATTCATGATATTTTAACATTCTCATACCCTGATTTCTGTGATATTTTCAACATGCTATAATAGGAATGTATCAATTTATTTTGATCATATATTAATATATACTTTTCGACATTTTAAACTGAATACCAGATTTTAATTAACTGTGATCGTCCCTCAGCTGCGGCGCCCTCTGCTGTCCACTCCGAAGAACCCAGATCTGGAGCATCCGGCCCAGGAACACAGCAGTTAGTTTGATGCAGGGTTATCATAGTAGAGGTAAGACTACAATTGAAAAAAGCAATGTAAAAATATTGTTATTAACCCGTGTGTTGTCTTCCTATCAACTGTGCAACTTATTCTCTATAGATGAACGTATACATAATCACCCAAACATGTGTTGCACCTTTAAGCCAACTTTATTCTGATTTATTACCATATGTTTTACTCTTGTTTTTGGAAATGTATGGTCAATAGACGTCCTTTACACAATATTAAACCTAATTTCTGAGTTAAAAAAGGCGGAAATCTTGACTCAACTGCCATCTATCGAGACCCAACATTAATACGAGTGTTTTGGTTAATTTCCAGTAATCCCTGATGCATACAGTCTATGCGGGGAAATATATATATTTATAATAATAAACTGAGATTGGTTAATGTCTAAAAGGACAATTATGTGATTTTTTTTAAAGCAGAAAAGCATGCAAAATGTCAGGTGGACCAGACATACGGTCATAATGTTTTGGTGCAATGACAAGAATAATAGCCTAAAGTCTTCTGGGTAATATCTACCAGCTTGGGTTCCTCTGGACAGTTTGCTCCAGGTCGTTCAGGTTGCTGAAGGAACAAAGCCATTAGAAATGGAAAAGTATGCATGTTTTCCTTATGAATGCATATATTTCCGGTTAATTTGAATAGAAGTAAATGTCATCCTTCACACACAAGTGAGCATGAGCTGCAGCTTGAGAGCTTCCGGGGGTCAAAGGGCACAGGAAGGACTTCCAGATCACACACTGCAGGCACTCTTTGACCTTCACTGTTTCAAATCAAGTATGTCTTTTGTCTTCTCTCAGGAGAAAAAACAAAAGGAATCCTGAGCAGGGAGGTGATGGAAAGGGCAGGTCACACACACCGACAGACGGAAATATCACGTCTGGCCCCCGGCTCCTCTTCCTCCTCTTCCTCCTCTTCCTCCTCACAGCTTAGAGCGACTTTGTGACGAATCAGGGGAACAAGATCAATCGACTGTGGGGAGATCTTCACCATGTGACTCCCTTTGAGGGGAGGAAACACTCCAAGGAGACTCATATGAAGTCATCGACTGAGGCCAATTGTGTCTGAATGATGCGTAAATAACACTAAATTATATATTTAAAGGTCACCTATTATGCGAAAAAAAATGTATACATCAACATGTGTCCCCTCTGTGTAAAGAGACTCTGAAAGTTTCAGGAAAAAAGATTCAGGAGTATAATAGGGGACCTTTAAGTTGTTTAAAAAGGTCTTGTATCTATTGAAAAGTCATGGTGATTTAAATCAAAGTAGTGTTTGCAGTATGGTTGTTAATAATCCCCTTCCTCCTTGTTTGTGCTGATTGACAGGTGTCCATTAAAACGCAGCTGAAAGAGCTTCCTGTCCACACAAAGCCTGGGACTGACCCGGGTAAATGTCAGCACACCTTTCAGAAATGCCCTTTTTATTCCACCAGAGGAGGTTTGGAAAGGTGGGAGCCATTATTCCATCCCTTAAAGTGGAGATTTCCGGGGTTCGCCAATACCTCACTGCACTGAATCCATTAAAAACATCCATTTAAACATTGAAACATGAACTTTTATGAGATTTGCCACATGGATATTGATGATAGTTAAAAATCTTGGAATTTGTTTTAAATAAAATACAGAAATTAAGTTAGAAAAAGAACAGTCGAGCAGCTGCAGAAGTAATGATAATTTCTTTATTAAAACATGGACAATGACACTTTAATCTAAGAACACCAGACCATGATGGACTACTGAACATTACTGTTATTATATTAATCACTATATGACTAATATGTGATGAAAAACAATATTGGAAACACATTTATTGTATAAAAACTGCCTCTTCATAAGAGTGTAAAACCTATAATACAATTACAGTCAATAGTGTTAGCCTGACAAGCAGTTAAAATCACATTGCAAAATAAGATAATTTAAATTACAGACTATAAATTCATGTTTCCTTGAATACATGTCTCCTTCATAATCCAAGGTAATTAAGTCTTGAAATAAATTAGTTTTCAGTCTCATTTTGACTGAAAAATGCAATTTAACAACTCAATATCAGACTTTAAAATGTCTTTTTATGCAGTGCACATATGTCAAACTGTTGGAATGAAATCCAAAGAAGTGTAGAAGGAGCAAACGTCCCCCTGTGTATACTCTCGTGTCTCTAAAACGGCAACGTGTCCAGGAATAACTTGTCTATTATTGCAGGCGGTGGCACCAAATCCTCCAGCTTCAAATAGAAAATCCTCTGCAGGCCTTGGATGCACAGAGTGCGGAGTTCTCGCAGTTTTTCCAAAAGTCTGGACAAACGGTTGGAGCAGCAGTCTGAGTCTGCGTCCTGCAAACATTTGATGATTCTGTTCTGCAGCACCTCCACCTTCTGAGGCTCCTTCAGCCCGTGCCGCTCTGCTGCGCCAAAAAACACAGGTCAGAAAAACAGACGGTGAACACAACTGAGCACAAGACAGTGAAATCTTAATTATTTTCTCAATTGTTTGGAAGATATTGCTAACTTTGGACAGCCTCATTTTTAAAGGCTTTATTGTGAAATAATTCCATTCAACAGTTTATTTTTTACATTTCATATTTCGTAGTTTGAGGACTATTTATTTTTCCACCTAATCATTTTTATCTGGTGTTACAAAAGTCATTCATTTTTTTACACTATAGCCCTTTCACCTCATTACTCTCATATGTATTATTTTATTTTTGCAAATATGTACAATAGTGAAAGAAAAGATAACTAAGACAAATTAATTCTTTGCTGCAAAAAAAGAATGTTTAATATCAGATACAAAATAGTGTATGAACTTTTTCCTCCACTTTAGACTGAATGTATTTTCCTACAATACAAATATAACTGTAACTAATGTTTGTTATAGTTTTCCAACTTTTAATGAAAACTATTTTTAAACAAATATGTCTAACAAAAGTCATATTTGCAGGAAGTAGGTCTAGTTTTTTAAATCTGTATATTCAGTTCTGGTTTATCCTACATGATGTCCAGCCCCTTAAACCTCTCTGCATCATCCAAATGTAGAGAGATGAGTTTATGATGATACCAGGTCAAACTTCTTACACATTTAAAGACTAATAACGTGCGTAAGTGGGCAAACAAAAGTTAATTTTAGCATCTCACCGGTGACCAGAGCGAGGGTGCATAAGCAGGAGAATGTGGACACGTTCAGGTTCATCCTCTGGAGGTTAGAGGAGAATTCAACGATGGTGTCGATCCACTCCCCGAAACCCCTCAGGCACTGCAGCCGGTGCCACACGGAGCCGTCGCAGAACATCAGCTCCCCTTCCTCCGGGTTGGATCTGAACAGAGGTGGCAAGAGTACACACATCCTTTACTCAAGTAGAAGTACAGATACTGGTGTTTAAAAATACTCTGGTGAAAGTAGAAGTACTGACTAAACTTCTTTACTCAAGTAAAAGTAAAGCTTTGAAATGTACTTCAGTAAAAAGTACCCATAACTAGCAGCTGTTTTAAAGAGTACCTGACCTCCCTTTATATGAATAGAACAATAATGTCATTGTTAGCTAATGAATGTTTCCATGCTGAACAACGGCAACATGACAACGTTTTCATTGGTCCCTCTTCTTTAGAGAAGACCAGGAAATGATGGATACACGGATCGTGTTCAAATCAATAGGCACGCAATGACTCTAAATAATAATGATCACGCCACCAAACACACATTCAAACTAAAGTAACTTGTTTGGAACATGTAAGAAGTAGAAAGTACAGGTATTTGGGTTCAAAATGTAAGAAGTCAAAGTAAAAAGTCGTCAGAAAATAAATAGTGGAGTAAAGTACTGATACCAGAAAAATGTACTTAAGTACAGTAACGAAGTATTTGTACTCTACTACTTCCCACCTCTGGATCTGAAACAGGAAAACAACTCCTTAAGGCCCCAGTAACACTTCCTTAAAGGTCCTTTTTAGAGCTCATTGGTGCCAAAGAAAAGAGGAAACATGCCTTCTCTTTACCTGTATGACAGTCGTAACACAAAGAGCTCCAGGAAAGCGGAGTAGAACAGGAGGTCTTGGTCGTGTTTGGGAAGGGAGGTGAAGCCCGGGATCTTCTGCGCCCAACCTCGAATCACATCCATGGATCGGGTCAGCAGGTCATAAAACTGCCGCACATGCTGAGCGTCCTCTCCTGGTGGACTCTCCTTGAACTGTGGGAAAGGTCACATCAATCACGGCTCTAATATAGAACAGCACATTCAAAACCTATCTTTTGAATATGGCTTTTAATTTGGGTTAACTTTCAATTCTCACTCGTTTGACTGTGTTTTTTCTGTTCTGCTTTTATTTTACATTTTTTTTTTTTTTTTTTAAATGTAACCTATGGGGTTGTAAAGTTATTTGTTTTAGTATATTTAAGTTACAGTCCTTTGTTTCAGTAGTTTTTTTAATTTAAAGTATTTGTTTTAGTAACTTGAAGTGACAATTTAATTAAAAAACATGAACAGTATTTGATTTTATATAAGGTAACAGTTGAATCTCCACTGTACATCCGGGTCTCTGATTTGATTTGAGTACCTGGTCAGTGTTACGGGGGCACTGGCCCCTGTTGCCCCCCCCCCAGAACCACCCCTGATAAAGTAATGAAAGTATGCTTTACTTTGAAGTATTCGAGGCGAGAAGGTGGAGGGTTGGACTCCACATGTGCCCTGATGAGGCTGCTCAGGAGGTTGATGACAGGCGGAGAAGACTCAGGAACTGTTTTGGGTTTAGACGGCAGGCGACCCCTGCGACCTTTCAGACCGTCTGTCCTCACCACTGCAGAGCATGAAGAGAAAACTTCTCAGTTACATTTGAAACACCATTATGGAATAGCTAACGTTTTTTTTTTATTGGGCTTATACCTTCTTTGACCATCCCCACGACAAGGCACTTCTGGAAGCGACAGTATTGACATCGGTTCCTCCTGCGTTTGTCCACAAGGCAGCTTTTTGCAGCCAAACACACGTACTTGGCTTTTTTTTGTACGGTCCGCTGCATGAAGAAAGAAACTGGTTTAGATATTATATAGAACCTCTTTTTTTTAAGGGTGATTTGGCTAAGATCCATTAATTGTAATGACTCCAAAAGACCTTAGATTAGTTCAGAAGATATCCAAATGCAAGATGAAGTCACACAGAAGCAGTTTCGAACTTGTTCTTTGCTGCTGGCATCTTGTATGACCTTCAAAGGCTTTCATCACAATATCAGTGTCTGTAGAACTAATGGTGTCCTCAAAAGGTTTATAAGGCAACAAAGGAGGCTTTCTACATGCCTATATGCGAGATGATATCTGGTGGCACGTGGAATATTTCTGTAAGGGTCTTTGATAAATGGTTCACATTTTCCAGGAGCTTCCCTAAAGGCTAAAGTGAAAACCTTAAATGATCCTTTAAAAATTAACGGCAGCACTCTTGCTCCTGTGGGCCATTTGAGGCAGTTTAAGGCATTCAGCAGGCGGACAGGGCAGTCTGGGTAAATACAGGGTCGTGGCCAGTCATAATTTGGAGAATCGCCCCGGGAATCTCCTTCAGAGAGGGGAAGGGGACGTTTTTTATTCATGGCACGTTGGTGGCCACTTTCATGCAGGACATTTGCCCCTTTAACGCGTACGTGTGTCAAGAGATCAAAACGTGCATTTCAATCAGGAAGTGCAATTTAGGAGGTCAACCAGGAGTCCCAGTGGGAATTTAAGCGTAAGTAAGGCTATCACTAGGGGACATTCAGGCAGAACTAATAAAATGTTGTGTGTGCATTCGTTGCAGAATACTAAATGTGAGTTGCCTGCAAAATATCCAAGTTGAAATAGTTTTTCAGCATTAAAATGAAGTAGCTTTGTGAACAAACCTTGAAGAAACCCTTGCAGCCTTCGCAGGTGCGCACTCCGTAGTGCTGGCAGGCTGCGTTATCCCCGCACACCGCGCACAGCCCCTCCGTGCTCAGCTCCCCTCGGCTGGGAGAACAAGGGCTCTGATAATCCATAAAGTGGTGGCTGTGCGCAAACTGCAGCGGGTGAGGAAATCCCAATCCGGGCTGCTTTCCGTGGGCACTAGAGCCCAGAATCCCGGGGCTGTCCAGAGGCTGGTGCGCCCCGGGTGCGTCCAAGTTCATGGACACGTGGAGAGACCCGTCAAATTTCATTTGGCATGTGGGCAAGCTTTGATTTCCGTGTTGCGCGTGTTTAAGGGAAAACAGCGAGAATCTGGAAAGTGTGTTTTTCCGGTGCGCCGCCGCCGCCAAATAGTCTTGTCTAAAATTGTACAGAGATCCGGAGTCGTCCCATATGTGTCCCGGTTGGTGTTGGAAGTTGGATGTCATGGGTGTACGCGGCGAAGGAGGCCGGTAATAATAAACAGATCCCGGAGAGGAGAGCAGATCTTCGGACTGCAGGTGATGCTGGTTCTGCTGATAGCGCGGACACCCGTGCGCATCCTCCACTTTTACGCACGGATGCTCTCCCTGAAGCGGCATTTGGAAGAGGCACGGGGGCTTCACGTCGTACCCGGTGTCCCCCAAAGGGCCAAAAGTGGGACCCGACGTTGCAGCTGATATTTCACAGTTGGTAAGGTCCATGCTGAACTTGACAAACTCCGGGGTGAGGAAGTCGCAGCTGCCGGAGCTCTGTGAGGCTGGGCTGGCTCCTTGTGGAGAGGAGCCGCACTGGGTCTGAACGCACGGCATGGCCCCTGCAAACATGGGCAAATACATTCAGTCTAAAGTGGAGGAAAAAGTTCATACACTACTTTGTTTCTGATATTAAACATTCTTTTTTTGCAGCAATTTTTTTGTTATTGCCAAAGTCCAATGGAAATAAATTACGCGCCAGTAAGGAATCCATTTCCAAAATGTTGACCTTTAAGACAAATCTTTTGCAGTATAAACAACAGCATTAATAAAAGTCTTTATTACCTTACGTTATTACTTATTCTCCAGATGATGTTATTGTCCACTTTTTCCCCTTAAAAAAAATTCTGAGAGCATTTCATGAAAGCTTTAAACTGACAAGCATAATTTATCTCTCCAAAAATAGCGAGAAAAAGAAGAACATGCACTACCTCAGAGCTCCATGCAGTTCAGGACAGTGAGAAGTAACCCCATCTCTGCTGTGATGCTGTCTGAGGATCAGTATAAAGTCCACTCTGTCTGGAGACAAATGGAAATGAATGTTCACTTCTCCCACTCAGACTGGCTGGCAGTGGCACCGTCAATGTGCTTTTGTTTACGTGGTGCGCACGCTTTCGCCAAACCCTATTGCGCACGAGCCACAGGGGTGGGGTGGGGTCTGGAGTGTGGGCAGAGAATGTGGTTCATGTCATTAGGAAATAATGCTTGCACTTTCCTGCACTTTGATCATTTACAAGGATAATTTTTTACATATTTAACCTGATAAAAAGTTATGTAAAATGCTAAATTAGTATAATAATCATCAGATTATTAAGATTGAGGAGTATCATTTTACAGCTCAAAAACAAGCATGTTTACATGAGACATACTTCTTAAAATGTCAGCCTATATTTATGTTGTGGGCTTTAATTTTTATTCTAAGCCTCTTGTGCTGAAGACAGTAAAATCGACAGCTGGTGGCACTTCTCCTTCTTTATTATTATCCTGGAGGAGGAGGAGGATGAAGGGGAGACTTGCGTTGTGCAATCTTAACCTTACTTTACGTCAACGGACTGGCCCCGCCTCCACTAGAACGCCATTGAACGAGCGTAGCTGAGCGCCGCGTTCTGATTGGCTCTCCGCTACGTCGCTCCGGGCTTCGCTACTTCCTGGTTGTAGCTGTCAAACACTCCGCTCTGGATAACAACCGATGTCCTCAGTCGCCGCCCTGCATCGCCCCAAGCGAGTTTTAATCGGCCACAAAGCAAGAAATCCTGTAAGTGGGAATGTGTGTTGTATCATGGAGTGTTTCTGGACTTTTTAAAATATATATGACGAATTTCTAACCCTGTGTTTTGTTGGCGTAGAGCCAAAAGGCAGCGCATCATCTGGTGGTTTGCTAGTGAGTGTATGACCATGAAGACCTAAGCTCTCCTCCTCTGGTGTTAAAGCTAAAGACATGCTATGTTTTTCTGTCAATTTCGATTATTGTAAACCCTTGCAGTGCTGCCTTTTTCCCCTCCCTTCCTGTTTGTGTTATTAACAGGTATTCTGGATTAAAATACCTGTTAATACGCTTATTCGTGCCTGTTAAAACGATTGCTTTTACTTCAAAGATCAGACATGTATTTGACTTCCTCTAAGATAACGGAACTATAACAGCAAACCTGCCATCATAAATCAATACCCCCCCCCCCCACACACACACACCCCACCTGCTGTGTGTGGTGTATAAATACTACCCAGGGGATTCCCATTTCCTTCTGGAAATAGGCTACAAAGGCCTTTTTAAAAATAGTGAAAAATGTCAATGGACCTCGCCTGACCAGCCCACATTACACAGGAAGCCCCCCCCCCCCCTCTCTGCTGACTCATTATGAGTACAGGCTGATGCAAGTGGATGAGCAGTTTATTTTCTGGTTATGTCACACACTCATTAGTCCTCCAGCGTTTCCCATGGCATGTGGTTCAAACTGGTATACCTGGTCCAAAAGGTCATTATTGTCATGTTCTCCAGTAATGAGTGTGTGCATGTGGTGTCCTATAAAGATGCTTTTAATTACATGGGTTTGGTTAAAAAGAACACAATGGTGCTCTAGGAGGAGATTCAGGTGATAAGATGGGCGGGGTTACCTTGGTTGGTGATTGGCTAATGGTTGCACAACGCAAAGTGACATCACAAAGTGGCCCAAATCTGATCTGCTCATTTTCAGAGAGGTTTTTGTATAGAAGGATCAGGACAAAAAGAGGGGGGGGGTCTTTGTGTAAAAGTCAGGAAAAAGTGGATTTTGCATAATAGGTGACCTTTAAATCAATCTTATGACCTTCAACACAGAAAGTTGGCATCAAAGTGTGTCTAATCATTCTTTTAACCTTGCGTACTTATTTTATTCTTGTCAGTGTACAATAGCGATTGAAACATGTCACAACTAAAATTGGAAATGCATTCACAGTGAGAGCTGTAGTTATAGCTATGCTTTTATTTACTTATTACTTTTGGTATATATCTATATAGCAGGTAATGAAAGAGGCTAATTTGCCTGAAGCAAGGTGTACGTTCCTTCTGACCAGTGATGCATTCCATGATCTTAATGTGCATTTCTCTTCCTGTAAATGAGACTTATTTCAGTGCTGTTATTGACTTACAACACTTGTAATAGGTCGGTTGTTATACCAAACTAATTCATGACATTTGTGCCATCTGTGTTTTATTCAAATGCATTAGAATCTGCTGCAGCCTTTTACTCAGTGTGTTGGGAATGCAAATGCTTTTTGTGGCTGAGATGGTATCATGTTCGGCTGGCTTAAAGGTGGAAACGGTATCCTGACTTTTACTCAAATACTCATTTAAATGTCCATTTTAAGCAAGATAAAGCTTCAGAGCTTCTCTTGCTTGTCGTGTTTTCTCTCGTGTATTTCCGTCACATCCACATATCTGAATTTGATGTCCCCTGATATAAGTAACTAATATGTTGCCTACATGCACAGACTTACAGTATAATATTGTAGGGCATGACATGAGGAGAATAAGTTGCTTATTAATCTATATTTGAATGCGGCTCTAGACCAATTTGGTATCCTATTATGGAAACTAGCTCCGAGTTAAAAAGGTTTCTTCTAATTCAGTGCACAAGTACAGTAGACAGCATTCCTCTGCCTCTCCACGCCTTCTTCACAGGTGTTTTGGATCCTCCCCCCCACCGTACATAAACAGTGTCTCCCGGCTCTAACTCCAGACTCCACTTCCCCTTTCCTCCCGCAGGAACCATGGCGTTCAGGAAGGCTCTGAAACACACGGCGATGGTCGGCGGGGGGGCGGTCGCCACCGTTTTCGGCCTCTCGCAGCTCATCGAGTACAGAAAGACGCAGGTAAGCTCCAGAGAAATGCACCTAGAACATATTTAATTCTGTCGGTTATTATATGCTGCATCACATGCTTTTCCATCCTGTCAAGTTTGAAGTCTTGAACTGTTTTGTGCATGACAACAGTACAGTATTGTCAATGTTTTGGCTTGAAACAAGTTGCCCCAGCAGGGAGAGAGCGGCCGTCTGGGCATGTTCTATCTGGATGTGGAATGTGCTCGTTGTCATTTTTTTACAAAGTATTTTTTTATGATTTGTTGCATCAGGAAGCATCAAAAGCATGGCGCCACTGGATCCTGAACGGCTTACAAAAAGATCATATTTTCATTGTGTTGTAAAAGCTCCTCATGGGAAAAACCACCTCATATGTGTAACATGTGTTTTATTATTTTATTGTTTGCTCTATGATTCCCTATCAGGTGTGGCCTGTTTGACTGTTTGCCCCTGAAGCCGTGCCAAGACTGGTTTTCAGGTGTAGACACTACAATGGCTGAATGAAGTTGTTAAAAAACGACCTTAAGGCTTACTTAGAAGAAAATCAGTAGCACAAATTCAACTTAAGTCATCATCAGGATATTTTCGTAAATACTTGGGTTTTCCCGGTTATGTTAAAGGAAAACGTTAGCCCATAATGGCCAGTAAAAAAGCTCAGTGTTAAGGTTAAACACACAATACATAGTGTGTTATTTACTTAGCTTTAGAGGTGCTAGTAGGCCATTCTTGTTACGTGAGATTTGATTTAATTCATTCGATATGCTGTACGTTTGGGGGTTTAACACTTAATTCTCAAACTTGTATTCTTATAAGCCAATTAGCTGCTTGACAGTATAGAAAGGACAACATTTGAGGAAAAAAAAAAAGCTCTCACAGTTTCCTGTCTGGTGACCATGGAAGCACTGCTGTCCTTGAAAGACACAAGTTTGGAAACTGGAAACTCGAGACGTCATCGTTAACACATACTACACATTGCATAACGGCTCTATTGGGGACAGACAAGCAGCTGTGTTTCCCGTGACCTCTGACCTCACGCCGGCCTATTTCAGGCGCCATCCCCTCACGAGCACATACCTGACTTTATATGACTGTGCAAACCCTAATGTGAACTTTGTTTTGTGTCCTGTTGCGATAATGTCTCCTCTTGCCCATCGTCATCCTCTCCACCAAGCATGGATTGGTAAGCAAGAAGTCGACCCTGATGAAATACAATTATTTTCACAATAGTTTGTAATCATGCATGCCTTTTCTAATCCCAGTAATTGCACCGCTGATGAGATGAATGTCCGTCTTGTCTCCTGTTGCAAGGGCATATGGCTTGGAGAAGTTTTCAACGCAGCGGCCGATTGGCTATTAGCATGGGCCTTGCTGTGCCACTCACTGACTTAGCTTGATTACAGGGGGCACGCTGGCACTTAATTCTGTGGCGTTGTTTGTCTGTATGCATCTTCAAAAATAGACAATGATTATATCATCGCCTCGCTCGCGGTCGCAGAGCTAAATTACAAACGCCTTTCCACTATTTGCAAGTCAAATGCCCCGCTTGCTTCAAAGCAGCTTGATGCAATCATTTAGCTTCAACCGCTAAATAGAGACATAAATGAATATTTCATTAGACCCCACACACACACACGAGGGGAGCTGTGTTTTTTTTCTCTTTTATCGGTGTTGTGCTTTTAATTCATTATTTTGCTAATCAAACGATGAAAAATAATGATTTTGTGTGTTTTGCACTGTTGATCTGCATGTTGCACGCAGTTAGTAACGCTCAGCAAACTTGCTACTAATATCATCAAGAATATGTTTTATGATTATTTTAGCAACACTTTACTTGGAAACTGAAGGTGAAATGAGGCGTCACTTCCATAACACTGCACATTTGTACGACACAATACTTTGTTACAAGTAGTCTTGCATCCAAACCAAGTAAAAGTATGCAACTATGATCTGCAAAAAGGGTCAAAAGTATACATTTTCGAGCAGTTGCAGCATTACATATTATATTCTAGCTAGTATTAACTATTCGAAATACTGCTTGGTAGTTCAAAGTACACAAAGGCATAATGGTTTATCATCTATTCATGCAAAATAACAAATACCATTTTCTTCCAATTCAGTTTTCTTTTTAAATGAAAGTAATATTATCAAAAATATTCATCAGTCAGGCTGTAATAAACTTTTAATAATAATCACTGTAATAAAGACACTTAGGCTTCCGTACACATGTTACATTACAGTACAGCTATCTAATGACAGTCAAATCCATAATGTATTAAAATAATTGCAAGTCATCAAGCATTATATCACTATGTCATTTTATTAGGTGTTTTAATGCAAGAATAATGCATGAGCACATTACACTGGCATATCTCATTATGCACCTCAAGGAAAGTGTTGCTATATGATAATTTAACATAGTTCAAATATAAATTAACATAGTGTTTTTGCACGATTTAGGGAATCATTAATGTGTGTGTGTCACTCCCAGGCTCGGTTAGCCCACGTGGCAGCAGAGGCGGAGCTGAGGGTCCCATTCGCCGACGAGTTCCCCTCCCGGCAGGCGCAGCTGGCGGCGCTGCAGAACACCGAGGAGTTTGACGTCCTGGTGGTCGGGGGAGGGGCCACGGGGGCCGGATGTGCCTTAGACGCTGTCACACGCAGTAAGCCCCTTCCTCACTTTCCTGCGATGTAACAGGTTTCAAGCTCAAGTCACCATTAAAGGCTGGCACAAGAGCTTTTAAAGGTCTCGCTGCAGTATGTCAGCTGGCTCAGAAGCTTAACTGTAATTGCTGTAAACACTCTTCAAATGCATGTCAGAACTGTAGTAATACTATATATATTAAAGGAAGGTCTCCTATTATACTATTCTTAGGCATATATTATAGGTCTATATATAACAAACATGTCTATGAAGTGTATTGCTCAAAATACCAAACAGATCACCCATTCTAGCCATGCCTCATATCCCTCTATTTCAGCCCTGTTAGAGAAGTGCTGATTCTGGGTCCGTAGCTTTAAATAAAAAAAAAAAAAACGCTAAACGTGTTCCAAACCACATCAAGGATTATTTCTGAAACAGTATGGAGCTCAAATGCTTTTTCTCTTGCGGGTTTACCACAAGGTGAGTTCCTTTTTTATCTCCTGCTTTTTCACACATACTCTCTCCAGTACAGGTTAGCTCTGAGTGTTAGCGATGCTTGCTAATGTAAACAAAGACCATATTACGTCCAAAACGCGTCGCGCATTGTTTCTGATAGCAACGTTTCTGATAGGGCCGTGGGCGTAAAGCCAGCTCACATTTCAGATATTACGTCATATCGGCAGCAGATCTGGATCAGCTCCGTTCTACCCCCGTTTTTAGAGATGTGGGTACGGAGGAAAAGAGAGAGGGTTTTGTTTTCTGACGCTTTGTGAGTTCCCTGACACACCGGGGACACATATTTATGTATAAAAGACATCAAAAAGTGCATTTTGCATGATAGGACACCTTTAATGCTAAATATATATCCAGCATGTGCTTCAAACTAAATGTGTGTTTCTGTATATATTCACTTTGTCATTTCTTCCCAGACCTCAAGACCGCTCTGGTAGAGAGAAGCGATTTCTCCTCGGGGACGAGCAGTCGGAGTACCAAGCTACTCCACGGGGGGGTCCGCTACCTGCAGAAGGCCATCATGCAGCTGGACTACGAACAGGTTCCTCTTCATCCTCCTACTCTTCATTTTCAGACTGTTTCGTTGCTCTTCCCCGTCTTCATCTTCCTCTGTGTGAACAGTACATGATGGTGAAAGAGGCCCTCCGTGAGCGAGCCAACCTCCTGGAGATCGCCCCTCACCTCTCTGCGCCCCTACCCATCATGCTTCCTGTTTACAAGTAGGTGTCAGGACTCCAAACACTTTTAATCCCTGGAAAAATATGTAATTTTAATTAAAGTATGTTTCATTTTATCTCCTGTAAAGGCATCCTATCCCCTTTGAGCATTCATCAGCATTGTCTGCTAGAAGCTGTCATTAAATGGCTTTCTATCCAGATATAATCCTTGTTATGGTCATTTTTAACTCTTTATTGTCTCCAGATGAAGGATTTTAATCATCCGTGTCCTTTTTTGGGAGAAAAACAGACTTTAATTTGCTTTACTCAGTGTTTTACCCGTTGTAATCTTACTTTCATGAGGTGCAGACCTCTGCGGATAACTCAGCTTTTGGTAGAAACCCACGTGAATAAAATTAAAACCTTTAATAAATTGTAATTGGGGAGAAACTGACTGAAAAACAATAAACTCCCATACATGAGAGTAACAAATGCGTCACTTCCGGGCAAAAAGTACGGCTCCGCCCACTTTTGGGGAAAAACAACGCTGTCATTTGAATGGCGGTCAATCCAAATTCTGAAGTTTTTGCCAATCCGATTAGAAATGTAAGAAAACCGTGGATTTTTGGATCTTCAAAGAGCCCGATTACAATGGCCAGTCAGGCAAACAATTACATTAAGCCATTGGAAATCGACGATCGGGCGCGATATATGGTTATATGGTATATGGACGTGACTTCGAAACACCAGCAAACTTGGTCTTTTGTCGTTGTTTTGATTGAGAGACTCCTAGCAGAAAACAACATATCAAATGTAGTGACTTTACTCACTCTGTTCATTTCCAAGATGGTGGCAGTTGCCTTACTACTGGGCGGGGATCAAGATGTACGACCTGGTGGCGGGGGCGCAGTGCCTGAAGAGCAGCTACGTCCTCAGTAAGGCCAAGGCCTTGGAGCATTTCCCCATGCTGAAGAAGGACAAGCTGGTGGGAGCCATCGTCTACTACGACGGTGAGTCAGAGCTAGGGTTGCAAAATTCTGGGAATTTTCAAAGATGGAAACTTTCCATGGGAATTAACAGGAATTTATGGGAATAAACTGGGAATTTTCTAAATTGAAGGTTGGCTCTTCGTAGGGAACTTAAATATAGTTGGGGAAAGTATATTTTAGCATAATCTTGACTAAAACAAACAGATGCCATTCAAGTACAATTGAATATCCATGCCATAGCACACTGCTTACTGCATGACTATTGAGACCACCAAAGGTTCGCAACAGGCTCACAAATGTGAGAGTGGAAAAACTGGTTGGCATTCGGGCAAACCTAAGGCTCTTTGAGCCTGACACAGAGCCATCCTCAACAAGGCTGGACAGTGACACTGAAGAGGAAGACTCAGAGTGTGATGTTGATGAGGCCCAGGAAGAGCCCGTTGACTGAAAGGGTTTAGCAAAAATGCAGAGGATCGCTTGAAGGAAGATGTGCATGTTTAATGGGACTGTTTGGAGGGAGAAGGGCTCTTTTCATTTAACATTTTGAATGGGACTTTGTGGGGATTTTTGGATGGGGGGTGCATTTTTGTTCATTTTTGTGGGTTGGGGGGGATGAGTAATATTTAACTCAACATTCCTGTTTTCGTTGTTCAATGAAACAAATAATTGTTCAATAAGATAATTAAAAGTTGTTCTGTTCTACTTAACATTTAAAAAAAAAAATCTGTTGAAATGTCATGTTTTTTGTTTAATTTTGCATCGAATATTTCCAAAATTCCCCAGCTTAACTTCCCATGGAAATTTTCTGGAAATGTTCCGCCCCTTTGCAAGTCCTAGTCAGAGCCCTCGCCCGCAGAGGCCTCTGTGCTTTGAACCCGGTGTGTGTGGACAGTGATCTAGAATGCACGCTAGAATGCACGCTTCCTTTGTTGATTCTTTATTTTCTGTAAACACGGACAAAGCAGCAAATCCAGTCTTCTTGCCCTTTTCCACTGCTTTCTCTCCAATGCTTATGAATTGGATAAATGGGACAAAAAAGAATGAAAAGCATTCTTTAACCTTACAGTTATTTGGTTCCCGGTGAAAGCCTCAGGAAAAAGATTGAATGAAATGATTTAAGAAGAGAAATTCATTCTAATAATTGGAAAGTTTGGTGAACATGTATCCAGTTAATCAGAATTCCTTTATTAGTCCCAGAGCGGGGACATTTACAGTGCTACAGCAACAAGTGGCAAAGCAGGTTTAAAAAGGCATGCAATAATAGAGAATAAGCTAACGTATTAAATACAGAAAAGACACATAAATAATAATAGAATAACACAAAGACAAATAAGTACATGGCTAAAAAATGAGCAATTTAATAAACTAAGTGACATAAGTAACATCACAAGCTTACGATGCAACACAATTCAAATTGTAATTTTACTTTAAGGTAATTCCAGTTGTAAAATGGTAGTAATTGTGAGGAAATTAGATGATTAAGCCAAACAGAACATTAACTAGGCCTCAGATGTAAACCGTGCCCCGTGGCCTCCACATCTCCACTGGTGCCGAACACATTGTGTTGACAGGCTCTCTCCTCCCTGTGGCATGAAGCTGCTTTATTTATTTTTTATATATATGTGTGTGAAGAGGCTTTTAAGGGCTCTCTTTTTTGGTGATAATCAGTTAAACAAAAAGAGCTTTCCGTCAAAATCTGTGTTAAAATCACTGCTGCTTTTTTAAAGGATAAATAAATAACTGCAGTTTTGTCGTGTTGATTTATAAAAGACAATTCCCAGTTTGAAAGAGATTGCATATCTTGAGAGATCTTGTAATGTATGCCTTATACAAAAAAGAAGAAGATGTATTTAATATAAAACACACTGCCTTTGTGCTCTGAGTATGAAATAGAAGTGGGCTAGATATAAGTGCATCTCCTGCAGGCTGGAGAAAAGGACGAACATTTTCTCGGTGCAAAGCAGCACATGTTTGATTTGCACTCCCCTGCCCTCCCCCCCGCCACCATCATCTGCTCTGAGGGGGGGGGACGGGGGGGGGACAGAGGAGGGATGAGGCGTCTTTTTCTCCAATTATGCCGTCTGGAACAATCACGCCGGTGACATTTGGAAATCTGACCTTCTCTCCCGGCGGTGCAGAGCAGAAGAGAGCAGCAGATATTCCTCCTGCTGCCACCAACTGCAGGAAGTGGAAGGCCCAACGCACTCTTTTTCAACTCTATGCTTACTTTTGGTCAATTAAGGACTGATCTATACACATCAATAGACACATTTAGTCAAATAAAGAGCTTGGATTTGAGTTGTGTTTTTGCCCACTTTCTTGACAGAAGACATGGTATGGAAGCATCAAAAATCACACAATAAATCACGCTATTTCACAATATCTCTTATGAAAAGGCAATATTCAATATAGGTTCTATTAACCTACACAAATATACTACGAGCTGTGCTTGTCTTCGACCAATTAGAATCTACTATGGCTTTGTTTTCTCCTCACCATATATAACTCCTGATGGCAGGAGCTCTCACACCTATAAGGGATTTATTAGCATGAATGAAAATAACATTATCACATTTTATTAAGAAATGTAAGATGAATGAAAAGTGAATGAAATTAGGTTTGGATCAGGTAGTACATATATTTCTTTATGTATTTTTCTTCCTTCCATTCGTCAGTATTTGTCAGAAACAATACAGTATACTTAAGAAGTGTATTATTCCCCCCCCCTGCCTAAAACTCTCTGTCTCTTTCTCTTCCCCTCTCTTCTTCAGGACAGCACAACGACGCCCGTATGAACCTGGCCATCGCGCTGTCGTCGGTGCGCTACGGGGCCGCCGTCGCCAACTACACCGAGGTGATGCACCTGCTGAAGACCAAAGACCCCCAGAGCGGGCAGGAGAAGGTGTGCGGGGCCCGCTGCAGGGACGTCATCACAGGTGGGCCACGCAGGGGGGCTCTTTGTTTTAGCAGAATCAGAATGCCTGACATAGCAGATAAAAGGAAAGCAACAATAAGTAGTTATTGCTGTTAAATATAGAGAAAAAGCACACATTGGAGATCAAAATAGAGACAAATAAGTACCCATCCATGGCTAACAAAGGAGTAGCGGCATTCAAATTAGGTAAGTGAACATATTAAGGTTTGAGATACTTAAAAAATTCGGCAACAACATCATCTTCACCTGTTGCCATTTCAACGTTAAAAACAATAAAACGACATATGAATTACTTCGTGGCATTTATCTAGATCCTCTGTCTCGAGCCAGTGAACTACCGGGCCTTCTAGAGTAGCCTGGAACCGAGGGGAACTCTGAAAGAATACGCCCATTGGCTACAAATCAATATATGATTAGTTGATCAAACTGTCAATCCAAAGGTACGCTCTCATTCAGTGCAACGGCCAGGGCATTCTATCAAGGATATCGAATACCTTGGTTGAAGGATATTCTACCCAGAGACCCAGAACAAGATCTGATTGGTTGCTTTCTTTTTCTAACACAAAACCACTGAAATGCGTAGTGTATGGTCCGAGAAGGACAAACAAATCAACGTAACACTGTGATATTACAGATCAACAACACAGATACCATTCTCATTTATTCATTTTACATACATTTTATTACATTTTATTTATATAATTAAATCGATTTTTTGTTTTGAGTGTTCCAGGGTATTCTCTGAATACCTTGAAGGCCCTGACGGTTCGCCACTGATAAAACCATATTTTCTTCTCAATTAGATCAAGTTGAAGTCATGCTTTTTGTTGTATTTCCTCAGCCCTATTTGAATATATCATTCTGAAACTCTTTCACTCTCTTCTATTATATTCAAATCGTTTTATTTCCTGTTGCTGCTGTAACATACATGTCCTTATCTGTCCTCACACTTTCTCTCACCTGTGTACATCTGTTGAGTACCTGTATCTGTCTTTTGTCATTTTAACCCATGGATGTTTCCCCCCTGCAGGACATGAGTTTGACGTGAAGGCCAAGTGTGTGATCAACGCCACGGGGCCGTTCACAGACTCTCTGAGGAAGATGGACAACCAGGAAACTAAGAACATCTGCCAGCCGAGCGCCGGAGTGCACATCGTCATCCCCGGCTACTACAGGTACCTCAGAAAGCCTCTAAAAGGACGTTTTGTTGGTATTTCAAAGGCGTAAACTTGTACATATTTAAACCTCATTCTTATGAGTAAATACTAAACCATTATCTGACCTATACCTACATGCATAGTACAATCTTGTGCAGTGAGGAAACAGCCGAGCAATAGAGTGGTTTTGTTGAAGTCGGGTTTTTTTAAAGTTCAGTGAAGCTTATTGAGCGAAACCCGAGGGAGCGGGAGCCCTTTGAACAGCGGCAGAAATGCCAACCACCTAATTCTCTTCCTCCTTCTCCCTCGTCTTCCTCCTGCCGCCATCTGCGCCCTCCCCCCGTATCTGTGATTTTCCATTTGTGTGTCTTTGCTCCTCAAACTGTCCTTTTTTGCTTCAAATTCCCACCTTTTTATTTTCCTCTCCTAAACACTTCTACTTATATAATATAACAGCAATGATAACCCTCCTGTACTTCGACTACTTCTTTGACTAAATGTACTTAATGATGATAAAACCCTAATACCTGTCATCCAATTCAATTATTTTAAATCACAAATTGATACAAATACAAGTAAAATCATAAGAATTAATGGAGTCTCAAGTTTTAGATAGATAGATAGATAGATAGATAGATTGATTGATAGATAGAGAGAGAGAGATAGATAGATTGATAGATAGATAGATAGATAGATAGAGAGATTGATAGATAGAGAGAGATAGAGAGATTGATCGCTCGAGAGCGCGATCGATTGATCGATCGCTCGCTCGCTTGCTCGATCGCTAGCTAGCTCGCCGCTAGATCGCTCTACGCGCCGCTCGCTCGCTCGCTCGCTCCGCGCGCGCGCGCGCGCTTGCTCGCTGCGCGCTCGCGCGCTTGCTCGCTCTCTCGCTGCTTGCTCGCTCGCTCGCCGCTTGCTCGCTCGCGCGCGCGCTCGCTCGCTCGCTCGCGCGCGCGCTCGCTCGCTCGCTCGCTCGCTCGCTCGCGCGCTTGCTCGCTCGCGCGCTCGCGCGCTTGCTCGCTCGCGCGCGCTCGCTCGCTCGCTCGCTCGCTTGCTCGCTCGCTCGCTCGCTCGCTCGCGCGCTTGCTCGCTCGCGCGCGCGCTCGCTCGCTCGCTCGCGCGCGCGCGCGCGCTGCTCGCTGCTCGCTCGCTCGCTCTTGCTCGCTCGCTCGCTCTCGCTCGCTCGCTCGCTCGCGCGCGCGCGCTCGCGCGCTTGCTCGCTCGCGCGCGCGCATCGCTTGCTCGCTCGCTGGCTCGCTCGCATCGCTCGCTCGCTGGCTGGCTCGCTCGCGCGCTTGCTCGCTCGCTCGCTCGCTTGCTCGCGCGCGCGCGCGCGCTCGCTCGCTCGCTCGCTCGCTTGCTCCTCGCTCGCTCAGCTCGCTCGCGCGCTCGCTCGCTCGCTCAGCTCGCTCGCTCGCTCGCTTGCTCGCTCGCTCGCTCGCGCGCAGCGCGCGCTCGCTCGCTCGCTCGCTCCGCCGCGCGCGCGCGCGCGCGCGCAGCGCGCGCTTGCTCGCTCGCTCGCTCGCTCGCTCGCGCGCGCGCGCGCGCGCGCGCTTGCTCGCTACGCTCGGCCGCGCGCGCGCTTGCTCGCTCGCTCGCGCGCGCGCTCGCTCGCTCCCTTGCTCGCTCGCTCGCTCGCTCGCTCGCTCGCTCGCTCGCTTGCTGAGCTCGCTCGCTCGCTCGCGCGCTTGCTCGCTCGCCTCGCTTGCTGGCTCGCTACGCTCGCTTCGCGCGCTCGCTTGCTCGCTCGCGCGCTTGCTCGCTCGCGCGCGCGGCGCGCTCGCTGCTCGCTGGCTCCGCTCGCTTGCTCGCTTGCTCGCTCGCGCGCTCGCTTGCTCGCTCGCGCTCGCTTGCTCGCTTGCTCGCTCGCTCGCTCGCGCGCGCGCGCGCGCTTGCTCGCGCGCTCGCGCGCCGCGCGCGCTTGCGCGCGCGCTCGCTCGCTTGCTCGCTCAGCTCGCTCGCTCGCTCGCTCGCTCGCTCGCTCGCGCGCTTGCTCGCTCGCTCGCTCGCTTGCTCGCTCGCTCGCTCGCCGCTCGCTCGCTCGCTCGCGCGCGCGCGCTTGCTCGCTCGCTCGCTTGCTCCTCGCTCGCTCGCTCGCTAGCTCGCTCGCGCGCTTGCTCGCTCGCTCGCTTGCTCGCTCGCTCGCCCGCTCGCCCGCTCGCTCGCTCGCTCGCTCAGCTTGCTCGCTCGCTCGCGCTCGCGCGCTCGCTTGCTCGCTCGCGCGCTTGCTCGCTCGCGCGCGCGCTCGCTTGCTCGCTGGCTCGCTCGCTTGCTTGCTCGCGCGCTCGCTTGCTCGCTTGCTCGCTCGCTTGCTCGCTCAGCGCGCTCGCTCCGCTCGCTTGCTCGCTCGCGCGCTTGCTCGCTCGCGCGCGCGCTCGCTCGCGCGCGCGCTCGCGCAGCTCGCGCGACTCGCGCGCTCGCGCGCTCGCGCGCTCGCTCGCTTGCTCCGCTCGCGCGCTCGCTCGCTTGCTCGCTCGCGCGCTCGCGCGCTCGCGCCTCGCTCGCTCGCGCGCTCGCTTGCTCGCTTGCTTGCTCGCGCGCTCGCTTGCTCGGTCCTCGCTCGCGCGCTTGCTCGCTCGCTCGCTCGCTTGCTCGCTCGCTCGCTTGCTCGCTCGCGCGCTTGCTCGCTCGCTCGCTCGCTTGCTCGCTCGCTCGCTCGCGCGCGCGCGCGCGCGCGCGCGCTCGCTCGCTCGCTCGCTCGCTCGCTCGCTCGCTCGCTGCTTGCTTGCTTGCTTGCTTGCTTGCTTGCTTGCTCGCGCGCTCGCTTAGAATCGTCTCGCTGGCTCGCTTCTAACAAGCTCGCGCGCAGCTAGCGACGCGTTGCTCGCTCGCGCAGCGCTCGCTCAGCCTAGCTCGTCGCTCGCTCCTCTGCGCGCTTGCTCGCTCAGCTCGCATACGCTCGCTCGCTGGTGCTCGCTGGCTTGCTTGCATTGCTTGCTCCTACTCCTTTCTTCTTCCCACCTTGGGCACTATCTTGTTGTTCTCCGGACCAGTGGCTCAACATTCCCATCCAACTACTTCAAAGTGGCCAACGTGTTTAACCCATTACCACTGCAACTAGTATAAACCAGCGGTTCCCCACCTTTGGGCCGCCAAATCATTTTTTTTTTAATATTTTTGTACAGGCTAAAGACACAAACATTAGACCATAAAATAATTTATAGGGAGATGCCATTCCCATCTCAGACAAAAAACCAAAACAAAAACCGAAGAAAATAAAAGATTTTGTTTTCCAAATGAATTGGTTATTTTTAATCTACTCTTCAAACACCCTTAAATTAAGATTACTCCTTGATTGACTTTTAAAAATATGTATTTTAGCCAGAAGAATAGTTGTATTTATTAACTGTGTGCGGTCTTCATCTAAAAGCCCAAATAAAATATTAAAGAGTGTAAATGTAAATTCAATATGTGCCGCCAAATAATTAGCAAAACATGATTTGTGTGGAAACATTTTCATTATTAAGATTTTTTTAAATTTGAACCTCTTTTCCTTTCTCTTTCTCGATCCTCCTTAGCAACGGTCATTACAGTCCTTAGCAACGGTCTGTTCTACTGGATTTACAACGTGTCACATGTTCTGAATTGACCAATCAGAACTTTATTTAGCCTCCGTATTGTTTATGGTTGAATGTGGGCCGCGAAAAAGAAAAGATGTACAAATAAAATGCATTTCAGAGGAAAATAACTTAACTAGAAGTCGGCAGCCATTCAGCTTTGACATATTTAATTAATAACTGCTCTCCCCCCACAGTCCTGACAACATGGGTCTTCTGGATCCAGCGACGAGTGACGGACGCATCATCTTCTTCCTGCCCTGGGAGAAGATGACCATAGCTGGGACGACCGACTCCCCCACCAGCGTGACGGCTCACCCCATCCCGGGGGAGGACGACATCAACTTCATCCTGAGGGAGATCCGCAACTACCTCAGCCCCGACGTAGAAGGTACTCCTCGGGTTTAGGAACACGTTGAAGGTGTCACAGAAATCACTGTGTAGTCTAGTTGGCAGGAAATGTTAAGTACCCCAAAGTTTTATGTTAGAAATGTATAGTATTAAAGGTCACCTATTATGCAAAATCCACTTTTCCCAATCTTTTCTACATCAACATGTGTCCCCTCTGCGTTAAGAGATTCTGAGAGTTTCAGGAAAAAAGACCCCTTCTCTTTTTATCCAGATCTATTTATATAAAAACCTGTCTGAAAATGAGCTGATCAGATTTTGGCCACTTAACGTTTTTGTGGCTTGTGTAACCATTAGCCAATCACCAACCAAGGTGACCCCCGCCCACCTTATCACCTGAATCTCCTCCTAGAGCACCATTGTGTTTTTTTTAACCAAATATCTCTCAGAGGGGCGTGGCCAGCAGCAGCTCATTAGCATTTAAAGCTACAGACCCAGAATCAGCACTTTTGAAACAGGGCTGAAACAGAGGGGATTATGGGATGCTGCAATGATCTGTTTGGTGTTTCGAGCCAAACACTTCAGAGACATGTTTGTATATATATGAGACCTATAATATATTGATGAAAAACAGTATAATAGGGGACCTTTAACATATGTATCTAGCATATTTCGGGCAATTTTCACGATTAGCGTAAGTTGCGTTCATTACCATTATAGCTGTATAACTGTGTTTTTGTGTCTGCAGTGCGGCGAGGAGACGTGTTGGCGGCGTGGAGCGGCATCCGGCCCCTGGTGACAGACCCCGACTCCAAAGACACTCAGTCCATCTGCAGGAACCACATCGTCAGCATCAGTGACAGCGGGCTTGTCACCATCGCCGGTCAGTTTTCAGACCATTTAAAAGACCATTTAAAAGTGGGATGTCGCTAATAAAAGGCTAATCTTAATAGATGTGTATTTGCATATTAATGTGGGGGTGTTTTCGTGTGCAGGCGGGAAGTGGACCACGTACAGATCGATGGCTGAGGAGACTCTGGACGCAGCCATCAAAGCACACGGCCTCTCCGCCGCGCCCTGCAAATCTGTGGGTCTGACACTGGAGGGGGGCAAGGGCTGGACCCCCACCCTCTATATCCGCCTGGTGCAGGACTACGGCCTGGAGAATGAGGTAATGGGTTAAATTAGCATGCAAATCCGGGTTAAAGGGGCACTATTATGCTTTTAGGGTCTCCTGTAGCGTGTTCTATAGTTTTTGGTGCATGTAAATGGTCGGCAAAGGCTAAAATCCCTGTGTTCACTACTTACAATAAGTGGTTTTAATTTATACAGACAGTAGCCGCTTGGAATTATGGGTACTTTCTTACCTTCCATACTGCAAAAGCACCATGAAGAACTTTTTAGTTTAAGATGTGAGCTTTAAAGGTCCTTTTAATTAAAACAAATGTAAAACATACCTCCTCAAAATGTTTGACTTTTCGTTTAAGCTGTGCCTCGGAGAACTTACTAAAACATTTCCTGCTGGAGAGAGCAGACCTTTAACTAGCTACAGACACAAACACAGACACATTCTGAGGAGCTGACATTAAAGCTGTGCTGCTGTAACAATGCTGACATTTCTGCTACACAAAAGACTGGACAAATGCACTGTACTCTGTAGCATTTATCAGTGGCGCTAAGTAAGGGCACATTGATTTACATCAGCTACACGCCATCTTTCCAATAATTAGGCGGTGCATTTTCATTAAAGCCAATAGAGCCTTGTTTCCTCAAGAAGAAGAGGAACTCCTACAGTTCACTTACTCCTCATTAGAGGCACTCTCTCAAATATTCCTGAAAGGTCACTGTTGATATTTGGACAGCGTTTGCCCTTTCACACCGTCGGAAAGCCGACGATCTGAATAGCAAATAGCCCTCTCCTGTAAACATATGACACCTCATCGACAAAGTGGCGCTAACGCTTATCGCTTAACTCTGAAGAGGAGGAATCGATGTTGACCTGTCATTTTTATATTGTGAAAGAAGGAAAATCACAACAATTCACACAGTTATCTCAAGGACACATAAGATACCTCCTTCCTTTAATAAATAAGCAATGAATAACATGTCAAACTTCTTCTTATGTTGAACTCTTAATCAGTTTTTAAAGCAAAAATGTCAAACATACCATAGTTCCAGATTTACAAATGCTGCTTGCCTTTGTTATATGTGATATTAAAATGAAATATGTTTGGATTTTTTAACATTCAAAAAGCCCCTAAGGGCCATTTGTCACTCTTTCGGACATTATAGAGACTAATCCTAAATAAAAAAATATGTTAAGTGGAAAAGTGTAATTTATTGAGATTAAGATATACAGAGGTCTTAATGTCTCTCTTCTCCTGATGAATCTAGCTAACAATCGCTACATTGATTAAAAATTAAATGTCAAACAGTTATTTCTTTGTTTCATAAAAGTGTATTAATTGTATTTATGTTACCGGAAGTGAGCGTGCAAGTAACGCCATTATAATCCTTTCTACTATGTTTTTAAAAATGGATTTAAAGTCTAAATAATGTATTTGGTGTGTTCCTCTCTGCGCAGGTGGCTAAGCACCTGGCGGCGACGTACGGAGGGAAAGCCTTCGATGTGGCCAAGATGGCTCAGGTCACCGGGCAGAGGTGGCCTATTGTCGGGAAGAGACTGGTGTCTGAGTTCCCTTACATCGAGGCGGAGGTAAAGCAACATTCCATTTACTTTTACTTCTTACATGTTGAACCCAAATACCTGTACTTTCTACTTCTTACATTTCCAAGCAGGCTGGTTACTTTAGTTTGAATGTGTGTTTGGTGGCGTGATCATTATTATTTAGAGTCATTGCGTGCCTATTGATTTGAACACGATCCGTGTATCCATCATTTCCTGGTCTTCTCTAAAGAAGAGGGACCAATGAAAACGTTGTCATGTTGCCGTTGTTCAGCATGGAAACATTCATTAGCTAACAATGACATTATTGTTCTATTAATATAAAGGGAGGTCAGGTACTCTTTAAAACAGCTGCTAGTTATGGGTACTTTTTACTTAAGTACATTTCAAAGCCTCTTTACTTTTACTTGAGTAAAGAAGTTTAGTCAGTACTTCTACTTTTACCAGAGTATCTGTACTTCTACTCGAGTAAAGGATGTGAGTACTACACCAACGAACAACATATATACATAGCCAAACACATTAGCATAGTGTGCTACACATACAAATATATGAAGGAAAATAGGACATGGCGCCCACATGAAAACATGAAACAAATACCTCGTTGGTCCGCTTGTCGTGAAAGGAGATTATTTGAATCTTTAAAGTTCTTTTTCTGAATAACTTAATGTCACGGACTGCTGCAGAGCTTCAATAAAGACGTCAACCAGTACGTCAACAAAATACGCAGTACCAGTACATGAACAACCATTAGTTCCTAGGCACAAGAAACAACCAACACATGTGGTCACAACGCATTGGTAGTTATCTGTCTGCATATTGGTGTAACATATAAAACAAAACTGTATTAAATCATGCCACATTTTAATATTATATAAGGCAACTTTGTGACGCCATTTACAAGTGTGGAGCCTCATGAAATGGCCTCTCTCTCAGGTGCTGTATGCGGTCAGAGAGTACGCCTGCACAGCGACCGATGTGATCGCTCGGAGAACTCGCCTCGGCTTCCTGAACGTGCAGGCGGCCGACGAAGCGCTCCCTCGCATCGTGCAGATCATGGGGAAGGAGCTGGACTGGAGCGAGGAAAAGAAGACGGTATTTTATAACACATTTCCTACAAATCTGGGGAAACTACTACGACTGAGGGATTGTGTTTCGTTGTGTGATAATCTTCCCTCCCCAGGAAACCCGTCTTACATAATGCTCTAATCCCTGGAGAAGTTCCCTTTTTCCGTCAGCACACAATAGAAGAGGTCCCCGCCCTTCATCCCTTTAGAGGTGTGTGTGTGTGTGTGTGTGTGTGTGTGTGTGTGTGTGTGTGTGTGTGTGTGTGTGTGTGTGTGTGTGTGTGTGTGTGTGTGTGTGTGTGTGTGTGTGTGTGTGTGTGTGTGTGTGTGTGTGTGTGTGTGTGTGTGTGTGTGTGTGTGTGTGTGTGTGTGTGTGTGTGTGTGTGTGTGTGTGTGTGTGTGTGTGTGTGTGTGTGTGTGTGTGTGTGTGTGTGTGTGTGTGTTGTGTGTGTGTGTGTGTGTGTGTGTGTGTGTGTGTGTGTGTGTGTGTGTGTGTGTGTGTGTGTGTGTGTGTGTTATTGTCCGGAAGTCACATGTCATGCCCTGTAGCATAACATGTAAACAGTATGGACAGTACGACCAATAGCTTATTTCACACTGTTATCGAAGAAAAATGTTTTCTCTTTTGGTTCATTTTGACATTGTGGGCTATTACATTATAACTAAGATAACATTTCTTCTTCTTCTTCTTAATTAATGTGAAATCCAGGAAGAGCTGGAGACGGCCAGGAAGTTTCTGTACCTGGAGATGGGCTACAGGTCTCGCGCTGAACAGCTGACCAAGACTACTGAGATCAACCTGGACACCCAGGAAGTAGCCAGGTAACCACGGTGATCCACATGATCACTTTTCTTATTACATTTCTTATTAAAATGTCTTTCCAGCGTCCTTACCCATGATAAGGAAAGCTGATTAATATGTCACCTTTAAATATCACCCTGCACTCAGAACAAAAGGCTTAACAAACAGGCATTTTTACAGTTTAAAATGTTTTTCTGTCCCCTCCTTTTGAAACCAAACCCACGCCCCGAGGTTCAGTCACTACTGTAGCACAAAAGTTAGCAACAAAGACACAAAACAAACATTTAAATCCCTGTAACATTATCTGTTCTTTGTCATATTTCACCATCTTTAGTCAGAGAAGACCTTTATACTATACCTCTATATGAAGTCATAATAAATGCTGTTTCATCTGTGTGCTAGGTACAAGAAGCGTTTCCATAAGTTTGACAAAGAGAGCAAAGGCTTCATCACCACTGTGGACGTCCAGCAGGTTTTGGAAGTGAGTCTTCTTTCAAAGCCTTTTTCTTATTGGTCTTCATTGCATGTTATTGATCCCACGTCTTGTTCTTACCCTCCTCTGCAGAGCATCAATGTCCAAATTGATGAAAACGCACTCCATGAAATCCTTAATGAGGTGGACCTCAACAAGAACGGACAGGTGGAGATTGACGAGTTCATGCAGGTACGGGAACTCAAATGTTTCATTTGATACTGCAACGTTTATTTGCACGAGAAAAGTGTGTGTCTTGCTTGGTGCCAGTTAAAGCATCATTATTTTTTTCACAATATTACCATATATTCAAACTGTTTACTATATCTTTCAATGCCTCATGCTTTACAAAAAATAATCACAACCATTTTTTTTAACTGTTAAAAATGCAGAAAAAATCCAACCTTTCTTTAAAAAATCATTAATGGCAAGGGTGCGAATAATATTCACAAAAAACACATCTCCCTTAAAAACAATAAATACAAATCTGCCAGTATACAACTATAAGATAATTAAATGTAATCAATATTTGATACAAAAGAGTCAGGATTAAGAAAAGCTTGAAACATGTTATATTGCACTGGAAAAGTACACACATTTGTACACACACAAGAAGGATATTTCTGCATATTTTGGAATGATCTTAGGTCATTATAGTGATGAGAGGAGCTAACACCTCTGTCAGTAACAGCTGAGCAAACAGGGTTGAGGAAATGAAGGCGGTAATATAAACCCAGGGGAACGCAGTCCATTAAACACACCTTTTGATTTTCTAATTTAACATGTCATTTAACCTTTTTTTTTGTGTCTGGCCATTTTCCTGTTTCTACCTGTTTCCATTTGCTCTCCTGCTTCAGAAATGTTGTGTTTTATACAAATATAATCCTGACATGTACATTTTATGCATCTATTTTACGTCATAGAAACCAGTTTTTCTATATTTTCTATGTTCAGTTCTATGTAGCAGTTAAAGCCCCTCTCTATTGTCGTCTCCAAAATGAATACAACACATTCCTCCTCATACATGCTATAATCATAGTCAGTAAAGCTGCGTCACCAATGATCCTATCGTTAAGGAAAAGGCCGTTGTCCACCTGAGAAGCTGTGAACTCCGACTGAAGGGAGCCGAGACGAGGGTCTCCTGTAATGAGGCCTGAAGTGTGACCGGGGCGGAATAAAGGACTTCCTCACGTGATAACGAAGTGCAGGAAGGAGTCAATATAGGCTAATGACAGTCCATGATTTAGTCTTCATTAGCCTTTTAACTGGAAGCCCCTTCATGTTGTCCCCTCCTCCATGCATGACCTGTATTTGATGATGTGTGTTTGTGCCTGTGTGGATGCCTGACCTGAACGTACTTGAAACAGCAGTCAGGTAGATTACATGATGATGGGAAACCGCCTCACCAGCCCTTCAAATAGTCACATGACAATAAAGTTACATAAAACTTTATTTAGTCCTACGGTGGATGAAGGGAAAAACACTGGAGCATCCAAGAAGTGTTAAAACTGCACCAGGAAAGGCGTGGTGATATTATATATTCTTCTTATTGTCAGCTAATCCTACCAAACAACACAATCAACCTCGTGCAAAAATGTTTTAAAGAACGTATTAAGCCACACGGTTGCACTGTGATATATGTCATTAAAATAATATTAGGCAGGCCATATTACAATTTGCACTAATTATATCCAGATTCATGAAAAAACACTTCTAAAATGTTTTTAATGTTACGTTTATTAGTTGCAATAATGCATGGATTATTTATTTTTTGCATGTTAGGAAATGAAATATAACCTTTGAGAACAGACATAAATAAATATAATAAATAAATATAAATAAATAATTAAATAAATCAGATACTCGCATTTAGATTCATCTTTAGGCTTTTAATAAAGAGTATGAATGCGGTAGAAACACACACAAGGCAAACTAAATGATAGTTAATGTAAAGAGTCCTTTGGAGACTTATGATTTAATAAGGGATGGAGTGGCGCAGTGGGCTGTGCGTTGATCATCAGATCAAGAGGGGTGTTGGGGAACACCAGTTTGAAACCCGCCGCCACTGCGTCAGGCCGTTGTGTCCTTGGGCAAGACACTTCACCTGAATTTGCTCCTGTGGGTATTGTCCACAGTACATGACCGTTACATGTGTGTAATGTGTATTTGTAAAGCGCTTTGAGCATCTGGAAAAGCGCTATAATAAATGTAAGGAATTCAATTATTATTATTAATGGTGTATTCATCCGCAGCTGAAAATAGTCCCAGAGAAATTCAATATTTACTACAGCAGTTCTGGGAAATGACTTTTTTAAATAATTAGTAAATATCATCTCTTACTTTCTTTCACTTATGGATTTAGGATTGACACACATTACATGTACTCATTTCATTCAAACCCTGAGTAGGAGCATGTTGGTATTGGTCTTAATGGGGTTTATTGATTAAGAAAAACATAGAATAATCATCTTTTTAAAAGCAATATACTTTTTGGATGGACAGCTTAGACCCTACTCTTGTTTACTTTGATGCTTTTTTTTAGCATATTTGAGATAACCTTACCTCTTAATCGTCTCCACGAGTCCTGCTCTAACACATGAAGAAGAAGAAGAAGGTGGTGCTGGGTTCTGTTTCTACCACTAATGTCATGTGAAGGTGGTCCTGGGGGGGGTTGGGGATCCGGCTCTTATCACCTCTTCTCTGACGACGAGCTAACCTTTTCCCGCTCTTTTCTCTTCAGCTCATGAGCGCCGTGAAGAAGGGACAAGTGTCCGACAGCCGCCTGGCCATCCTGATGAAGACAGCGGAGGAGACGCTGAATAAACGAGGCCCGGTGACGGTGGACCGGAGCGGGGGGGGATTCTGATCCAAAAGGGGGTCTCATGCAAATGGGCTATTTGACAGACAATAACGCAATCAAGCACACGGGGTGAGCAAATCAAGCGTCCCTGCAGAGCGGTCTGAAGGTGGTTTCTTTTCACAACATCTGGTGCCTCTGATGTCACGCAGCACATCTGTTTTCTACTGTCTTTAAACACACTATTTTAATCATTTGACATTGTCTTTGTACCGACACTGGATTTTTTTACTTTTCATTTTTCAACATAATGGACAGCTGCTTTGTTAAGCTTTATTTTACACGGTAATTTTTTCTTCATATTAGCTTAGCACTAGTTAGTTAGCACTCACCTTAATTACATTACATTACATGTCACACATGACTTCCATACTCAATACTGTGGGCAATCCCCACAGGAGCAATTTGGCAAAGTGTCTTGCCCAGGGACACAACGACATGCTGACTGCAGTGGGGTTTGAACCTGTGCTCCCCGGAACACCAACGCACTAACCCACTGCGCCACACACCTCCTAATAAAACCATTATGTATCCAGGAATACATTAACATTTATTTGGCTTAAATGGACAGCAAATCACTATGAACCTTTAAAATAAAGCCACACGGGGCATTTTAATATTTAGTTTCTACAAGCAGTCACTCTGAGATGTTTCTGAAGTCCCCCCCCCCCCCCAACTGTTGATCTGCTTTTCCACTACCAGCAAACTGCTTCTGATTCTTAGGTTTACACGACAGGGTTCCCAGCTTTACTGAGAAAGAGGCTTTTAATCTGTTCTTTCCACATATATTTTTTATTATTTATTCATAGGTAGAACTACAGAGATTTAAATATGTTGCATGAGAGAATAATGATTTTTGATGATGTCAAGCAGAATCTTTATTTTTACAATGTTTGAAGTGCAGTTTCTTGTGCTTGTGTTGAGTGTATGTAACTCTGCATGCTAATGTTGAATGTGACACCAACAGCACAGTTGAATCATCCATCTTGTGATTGATAGGAACATCTTAGGCAGTGCACCTGATGATTGTATGATACGTGCCTTGATGTGCCTAAGTTCTGATCCTACTTTTCACTCTGCCACACTCCATGTTAAACTAATACAGGAAATGATGTTAAAGAATGTAAGAAGTGTTATATAAAGAATATTATTTAAGCTGTTTGTTTTGTAGCTCTGGTTGCTGCCATGTTGGAGAGGTGAATAAGTGGAATTACATATTGCTAATTGGACCTTTAGTCAACAATGAAATATTTTTTGTTGACTTATCTTCAAAAAGTTCCTGTTTTAAATCCAGTTTTAGTTCTCTTCCAATCTAAGAGAAGGCAGAGGTATTGTACAGCTGCTTTGTTTCCACATTTAAAGACTCTTTTTAAAACTACAAATGTTGTTTTTTTCTGAGCTTTCTCACAGGTTTGACAATAGATGGGACTGAATTGGACCAACAGATTGATGACATGTATTCTGCGGGTTAGTATAGCGTGTTAAACTCTTATTAAGTATTGTTGAAAGACAGACAGACTTTCTCTGATACGTTTCCAAAGGTTTCAAATCTTGTTTTAAAGTCAACGTGCAGTGTTGCTTTTCCAATTTAGAAAAAACCATTCCAAACCCAATTTATAAAAATAAAAACAGTAATGGAACGCCTCCAACATGGCAGTGAGCTGTTGAAGGTTTTATATTGTAAAGAAAAGTGTTTCCTCATTGCCTTCATATGATAATTTATATTAAGATTGATCTAAATAGACTTTTTCTTATGCAGTGATTCCATCAGGTTTGAACCATCACTGTACTGTTACTGAAGTGTGTGTGTGAGGGTGTGTGTGTGTGTGTGTGTGTGGGGTTCAGCTCCAGGACCCTTTAAAACTGCCAACGACATTTCCACGCTGATGTTTTTGTGGATGAAATTTCAGCTTTATCCCCGGCTCAAAGAGAATCCTGAGAGCGCGTCTTCAGGTCAAACAGCCATTATATCATTAAATATATCTGGTTGCAAAGCTTTGTTTCTCTTTGTGTTTTTAGTGTAAGCTTCATCCACAGCTGGAGGATGTGTTTACTGGCACTTTATTTATAGGCCTTGTCACTTTTAAATGATCGATGAATCATTTACACCACCTGTATCGTTTTCTTTAGAGCTATTTTAAATGTACTATCTTCCTGTTATATAAAAAAAGGCATGTCTAGTCTCTAAAATGTCACATTAAGAAACACATACTTGTATTATACTATTATGAGAGTGTCATTTACATTTTTTAGCAGCTGTTTTGGAGCTTTTCATCAAAAGACTACACATCATTGTTTTCACAGCAATTACTTACAAAATATACAAAATGCAGAATACAGATTACATATGTAAGCTAAAAATAATAACAATGACTTCACATCATTTTTAAGTTTTTCTTTATTTAAACATTATTATATGAATATATGTTCTGTGTCACTGCTGGCTTTTATTGTAAAAGAAAGCTACTGTAAATTATAAACGTGTGTATTTTGATCTTTAATGACACAGGTGGAGGTGTTACCTGGCTCGGGTTGCACCTGGTGAAAAATATCCTCACTCAGACTGATTCTCACAAGGATAGAAACACGCACGCATGCACACGCACACGCACACGCACACGCACACGCACACACCATGCATGCCTTCTGCTAACTGTCTGAAAAACAGCCCTTTCTCCTGAAAGGTCACGCAGAGATTTGAATGACAGCTTTGAGTCCTCCGCTCAGATTACACTCTGCAGCTAGGAGCGTCCAATGGAAATGCCGAGAGTACGGGGAAGCAATTAATTGTAATGAATAATGGGACAAATCTGGTTGGCATATGACCGCTAATGGTCCTTTTTTATGTTTTTCCCTCTGGAGGATTTAGGACGCTGATGCCAGCCACGCTGAGGTGTCTGCATGCACACTAATTGAAAAGAGTGCGGACACCATTTAGTCGATTAATTCAAAAAGATCCAAATGTATCTAATTGTAAGGTGCCGAATTCCCCCAGAAATACATTTGATTGTCATTTTATATGGTATTTGATATATTTCTTTTTTTGTTAAATGAGTGTTCACATTTTCTCCCTGTGATGCTGTTTTTAAGCAAGTGAAGAAGTGAAGAAATGTGACTTTTTTGGGACTTAAAATTGCATAAATTGAATGATTTATTTTATTTGTGTGTGCACTAAAAGTCTCCACTGACAAGCTTCAAATTGGATAAAAGAATTCTGCAATTGACATGACATTAGTGCCCGATTATCCACTTGAGTATTTTTATTTTAGTCCTTCATTTAAGAAAGAAATAGTTAAATGCAGGCCTTGAATTTCTAAAAACACCAGTGTTAGTTATGACAAGCTTAATACTGGAAATCCTTCTCCTGGTTATATTTGAAGTTGTCGCAAAAACTAATGATGTTTTGATGAGTTTTAATTAGAAATGTGAGTAAGAGCACAGGGACCAGCTCGGCGAACCCTCGGCTAATAATTATGGTAAATAAGATGATAATTAACTGGGAAATGAGTCACATCGACCTGTTGCAAGTTCAAATATTGATATGGGAGAGGGCAGGTCATTTAATATATCATTATTTATCTGTTATTTGTGGCTTTCAGAGTGATTGCAAGTGGAAGTCATTAAATAAGGAGGTTGTTTTTGAGTCCTAAAATCTAAGATGAATCTGTCTCTGACTTTGAGAGGGGAACAAAATGCATTTATAATGTATTGTATTGTTTCATTTTAGACATGAGAAAGGGACATTTTGGAGGGAAATTAACCTACTACTGCTGTAAGAAGAGTGAAAATCTACATATTTGCATTTCTGCATGCATATGTCAAGGTCAAAGGTCCCCTCAATATCTTCCAGCCGCCATCATTCATGCATCATGTGCACGAGGTGCGTTCAATGGCCGCTGGCTGCATGACATTTCTGCAGCCCTTTAGGTTACGTCTGGCATTAAAGAAGGCCCCAGAAATCAGGGGCTTACGTCCAAAATAGAAGAAATATGTCAAAAAGCAGCTGCTGTTCATCCTAATGTGGTGTGTAAGTGTGGTGTGTAAATTAAATTCCACTTTGGGAAAACAACCACTCCTTAAAACAGAAGAGTGAAATGTGTGAAATCATATCATCAGGGGGAAATTAAATCATTACACATCATCCCAGCTGATTTGCACTCCTTGTCTGCAACAATGTGACATCTTCTGTCTGGCACAAAGAATTGATTTTATGATTTGAAAAAGGTCTTATAAGAAGAAGAAAAAAAGGATGATGTTCCCAAGGAGGTCTTAACAGGCGTGCGGATCGATAGACTGTTCAATGATGCAGCGTGGCGGCCAGAGATAGAAATGAATCGATAGCAGCATCGGAGAAACGTCCAATTTATTCTGCAGACGGCGGTGATTGGCAGCTGGAGAGGGAGTATAATACAATATCAGATATTACACAGCAGGACTGCAACATGGAAGATGTTAAAAGACTCCATTAAGTACCATAAGGGTGGAGAGAAACTTAGTACATACATACGATACGAGATATTCAGTTTCACATTTGACCTTATTCTTTCTTTTAAAATCCTCACACTGATTAAATGATTATTAAAATAGTTGCTATATTGTCTTACTTTGATTTGGATATTGCAATTGTCAATATTGCAATTTCTTATTTTTTAAATGATTGCATGCTCTGTACGGCTGAACAAAGTCAACCCGTAGTTCCCTGAATGCACACAGGTATTGACCACATGCACCAATAAAAAGACCCCAAAGAATCAACACCTTGCCCCAGAAACAGGTTGTTTTTTGGGGGTGATTTTGCAGCCTCCTGCCCCTCCGGCTGGTTGTGGCCGTACAGGTTTTTTTATCTCGAGAGCACGATTTGAGGTATTTTTCTGAGACTTTGATCTCTGCATCCATCCAGCTTCAATACAGCTTAACCCTTATCGCCATCAGCCCAGAGACCCCCGGCATCAAGACGGATTTACAGGCAGGGACCCCCGGTTACTTCCAACATGTAATCCATTACAGATTATTGCAGATTACTCATCAAATGCTCCCCAGCTGTTGTGAATGACGGCCGTCAGGAACTAAGAATACACATTTAAACAGATTTTTGTTTCAAACTGTAATCATTTGAATCTGTCATTATTGAAGACTTTCCAAAAGTCAATACTCATATCCTCTCAAAAAAATCAGTGGGTTATCAAAAAATCTATCAAACATGCATCAAATATATTGGGATTAGGCAAGTTAAAATATACTTATTTTAATATTGAGTTCATGTTTTTGTCTAAGAGCAATATTTGATAAGTGTAATAATTCATCATAGGATGCTTAAGGTATTTCATTTGTTGTAATGTTAAAAATAGATTTATTCATAAATAGTTCCTCCATATAGGATTCCTAATAACCCTACTTACTAGCAAGTCTTAGTTTTACATCAGTATATTCAAAATGTATTTATTTGAGATGATGGTAGGCGAATAAACTAGCTTATCGAAAGCAATCAGGATCTTCTATTAAAACAGGATGAAGGGTGCACTTAGCTACTCTTTCTCTAAATCTAAAGAGAACAGAGAATTATTGGAATGGATTACATTTCCTTCAGGGAGTCTCTGAACTACATCAACGATTAGCATTCCCTGCTAACATTGTCTAAACACTTGAATCAGTGGATTGGATTATTTCCCTGAGACAAAGCTCAGAAAACACACAGAGGATCTCAGGAGACGCACCTCAGTGATTTCAAGTTAATCCAGAGCTCATTGTTTAACCTGTGTAGAAGGGATTTACCGCGTCACACAATTAGAAAATGGAACAACAAGTGGCTTCGGTTACACAGGTTCTACTGGGAGTGTGAGATTACGTTTATTAAGTTATGTATGCTAAACCAACTGATTTAATATTGGTAATTTTAGGGATAGAAATGTGTAATTCAATAATATTTGTAGGTCTGAAGTCGTAAAGAAATATCTTTTGACTATATATATACATTTCTGATTTGATATATTTTAAACATTTTCATACTATGTTGTTGTACATGAAAACATACTTGGAAATAAAACAAATGATCTGAAATGTAAATTTTTTAATTTAAGTATAATGTGACCTAATTGTATTTGTGCAGAATGAACTGTAGTTGTTTAAGGATAGTCATGATTGGAATATTCAATACAATGACCCAGTGTGGTTTTCTAAACACGTATCGACTCTTTTTACAAATACATGCCATTGCAGAATAGTATGGCAGAACAAAAGCTCTCCAACTACCAGGAGAAGAGAGGGAAAGAGAAATAGTTTCAGCGCTGTGAGGAAGATAGTAAAGAAAAAATAATCCGTGGCCCTCCGAGGGGAGAAGTGGAAACACAACACTTGAAAAAGATCTCCATTATCTGTAATCGCAAACTGTCTCTCCTCTCAAAAGGAGAAGAAGCTGAGGGAGTGTTTGAAGAGGGCTGAGGCTCTATAGGCTGCAGGACTCAGGGGTTTGTTTGAGGATTATGAGGACGTTTACATCCAGAGCGAGGGCCCGGTGAGAGGGGCCCCGGCCTCTGAGGGTCCCAAGCAGCTCTGCATCCCTGCAAAGACTGATGGACAGCTCCAGTTCACACACAGTGAAGAAGGGACACATTTGAAAAGTGAAAATGCTTTTCCAAATACTCTTCACTCTTCATTCCCCTTATACCTTAAGTCATAAAGCAGTATAGAGTGCAGCTGTATGATGCTGCTGAATTGAGAAAAAACACTGATTTGAAGAAAAGTTGAAGATAAAAGTGGCATTTTATTGATCCAACAAGGGGGAAATGTAATTGTTACAGCAGCTCAGAGTCCAAAGCAACTACAAATAAGTTATAAATACAAATAAAACAAGATAAACATGAATTATTAACTTATCTCACTGGAATATTGCACCTATGATGTACCACCCTATACTAAAAAAAAGGTATTTAAACCGTGGCTTCCTAAAACTAAAAAGTGTTTAGTTATAATTGATTAAATACGATAATACACTGCCCTCTGCACACACACCAACATTCATTTGGGATAAAGTTGTTGTAAAAATCAAGACAATTGCAAGCATGTACAAGTTGCTTTAATAAAATCAATTAAAAGGTTAAAATATATATCTACCAAGTGGAATTAAAACTGTGACCTGCTCCCTTCAAAGCCATCCTGTTGTTAGAGTTCTCTGTATTGCAGGACACTGGAGAGGTTTGCTCTTCGTCATATTCAACTGAATACAACACAGGAGCATTTCAATAGTATATGGTAAGGTCTCCATCTAGTGTCTGTAACCTGCATTACGATTTAAAGTGAGTCACTGAAATAATATTATATAATGTATCCTCATTGTAAAAGGCACTAGTCCAATAAACACAATTACTTACAATACTATCAGATATCTAAATAATAATATTAAAAAGTGTATGTTTTTAAAGGTTTGATAGATAGGGTACATTCTTCTGGTTGGTAATAAGAACATGTCTTCAATTATGTTTGATTCTTTTACATTTGTTTCTTTTCCAAATAACTACAGCAACCCACATTTTAAAAAACAACGGTAAGAATTGGTAAAGATTTTACAACTTCAGAAAAAAATCGGAAAACGCTGGGTCCTACATTTCCCATAATGCAACTTGGGGACCCACCCTGCTTGTGTGTGTCTTCGAAGCTCCTCCACGGTTTGTAGTGCTACTTTCCTGTTGTATAATACGTTTATAATCTGAATTGGGTGTTTACATTCGACTGTAAAGGGAGGCAAGAAGTGTTTGCATGTTTTACACAAGTTAAAGTACTAATATGACGATGTTTAAATACTCTGTTACAAGTTAAAGTCCTTGTGCATGTTGAAGGTATTTGCATCACAAAGTTATAAAATGTTGTAGCTGTGTGAGTTGGAGAGATTTTGTCATTACTTGACTGTTGTAAATGTAACAATACTTAGTATAAATCCATACCATTTCCAATGTTCTGCTTTATTGCATAGGTCACAAAAGGGACTTTAAACGTTCCTGTGAGGTCTTTCAGCCTAAAAAAAAGACACAGAAAATAACCCAACAACCTTGTAGTGCTAATTCTGAGTCTACAGTCTTTTTACTCGTTTTTTATACTTTTACTTAAGTAATATTTAGAATGCAGAACTTGTACATTGTGGAAATACTACCTTAATTAATTAACATATCTGAAAACCACCATTGCTGTAGTTTGATCTGCAAAAGTGCATCATATCCTTTGAGGAGAAAATCAAATCAAATCTGGATCTAAAAAGTAACTTGTTGCCAAAACATTTCCCTCTCTTAAACACCCTCTTGAGTTAAGAACAAGTTCCTTAGAATTAAGACAAATACATCATTATTGATGGTTATTTATCACTTTCCCCAAGAGGCAAACCCCTTGCTTTTACTCTGAAAAGGTCCAACAGGAAGCTGGGAGGGACACCATTTGAAAAGGACAAAGCTGCAGCTGTTTGGAGCTCCTCCTCCTCCCCCTCCCCCCATGTGAATTTATATAAGTGTGTGTGTGTGTCACCCTCCCCTCACTTCACTCACAGAGATCTCATTATAGGTTTCCTGTGAGATTCTGCAGTATTCAACTTCTCCTCCTTTAAGGACGATCCAAACAGCACAATGGTGAGTATTAAGGCGTTGTTTTTATTACTTACACCCAAAAGAAAAGCATCAGTTGTTGTATTTTAAGTGAGAATCTTAAGGGGAAAGTTATAATCCTACTTTTCCTGTTGCTACTGCATACTTTCCCTCCAAAATCTGTCACATCCTGATTTAAGAAAAATGTTTCTTCTACTTTTGTGTCACTATGCTGCTACTAAAAACACTTGCGACACTATCTTAAATGTGATTTCAATGTTAAAAGAGTGGAAACATGTACCCAGGCTCCAGTAAAGGTTAAGTGTTTCCATATGTCTGTCTCAGGAGGGCGTGCTTTTTTGCCCGGCTGCTTTTGGGAATGCTGATGTGGCTTCCAGAGGCCGCCTGTGTGTTTTACACGTCTATTTCTGCTGCCATCGCTCTGATAAGCTGCTGCATTCCTGAAGCTGGCTCTTTCCAAGGCATTAGCTTTTAAGATTATCTCCCTGCAGAGTCAAAGAAAACCAACTAACATTTTGATTAAACATGAGGTCAGGCACATGACGACAAAGCCCTGGAGCCATGGATCAACATATTGACTAAAAGAGTCTTATGTTAACTCTTCACTTCCTCTAAACGTCGTTCCCTAAGCAAACACGCTGTGGCGAAATGTTTGCAGGCCGTTTGAAAAGTGAAGAGGGAATAGAAGAAGTTTGTTGAGGAAAGTCTGGTTCCCCAAATGGTTTGATAACACTTCCTGTTGGGCCATTTATGAAACAACATGGAAAAAGAGGAGGTGTCGAGTCTTTAAGAGTTGCTTCCTTTTTAAAAACTAAGAATAGGGTGGGTTTGGATTGAAATTCATAGGATCTTTTATTCTGGATCCATTTATGTTAACGTTCGGGTGCATTTTGTGTGAAAACACACGTTAAAACATTTAGAAAACTTCTCCCTGTAGCTCATTTTCAAGTGGAAAATACAAAATCTGTTGCCTCTGTGCATGCTCACAATGCTCCACTGTGTTTCCCCTCTCATGCTTAAGCCCTAACGTCAACTGTGACGTGGTTTCAGGACAAGATACAGGAAGTCACTCTCTTTGCCGCCATTTCCAGGAAGTGTAGCCCTCGGAGGCCCAGCATTAACCAACAGAACCACTCCCACGTCCTCACTTCCTGTCCGACTCCTCTGGCTTACAAAATGGCCAATCAAAGCAGAACATGATCTTTATAACAGCTGTAAATGCACCGTAGAGTTGCTCGTATTTAAGAAGCCCTTTTAATCATAATGTACGCTGCAGGAAACACGTCAGAGATGTCTGTGGGAAGCTCCACTCTAAAAAGCTCCCATGTGACCCCTTTCTCACAAGCTGCTTTAGGGGGAGGGGAGGTTAAGGGAACACAACAATAGCGCCCAATGACAAAACATTTTTGATGTGCACTATTTAGGCTTAAAAACACTGTTCTCCTAGTTTTCAGTTTTACAAATGGTGGTATAGTTGGATTAGAAGTACTAATAGATCTAACAGAAGAACATTTTTAACCATTTATCGATTAGTTTTACGAAAAACAGATATCTTTCCTGAATGGAAGCATAGATGTGTAAATAGGTGAAGTTGGTAAAAGTACAGTTTATATGACTTCATATATTGCTAAGTAATCTGTACAGCAAAGAGTGAGTGAAGGACACATTGTTCTTGCGAGTGGCGCTGGAAAAAACATGACCAGTTGCTCTGTCAAGCCTCATAGGAATTTAAAAATAACGTAAATATTTAACAATCCCTCTCATAATGAGGTCAGTTGCAGCCTCTATGGAAACATGGAACTAGTTATTGTTAGTATTACACACAAGTGTTAGTTCACCTTAAGACCACGTAAACACTCCTTAGTGACACAAAGCAGTTAAGAATCAGCTGAAATTGATTTGATTTCAACACCAAAAGGTTGTTTTGTGATAGAGATGTTTGCACACTGCTTCTCCCAACATTTCTTTCAACTTTCAATCTCCTCGTGTGAAAGGTTAGTTAACATGACAGACTGTGTTGCATCCTGACGCCACATTTCCCCGACTGATGAGAGCATACGTGTTCCAGCCCTCAGCCTGCATGAACCCATTGTCTCCACCCTCCACCCCCCCATCCTTTACCAGACACTAGAAATACTTCAGGAGGGCGTGGGAGCTGCAGACTCTCTTCACAAGAGCCTGTCGATCACCACTGCTTCCTTTTTTAGATCCCTGACAGAGGATATGAGACAACGTGACAGTTTTCTGTTTAGTTTGCAGATGCAGACAGGGAGATTTAAATCAGGTTGTAGTGTAAATAAAGTGAAAATACACAAGAGGTAGAAGAAGTCAGGACTCCACCCGTTGTTGGCGCTTAAAGGTTATTTACAACAGGTCAAGACAGGCTTAAACTGAAGTGTTTGCTTGAAGCTGGTTTTACTGCAAATTTGAGCAGGAAAAAAAAGTATTAAGATTGTTACGTGTATTTCATAATGGAAAAAAAAAAAAATAATTATCAATATAATATTCTATAAAATAATAATGAATTGAAATGAACAAAATAAATTAATAATGATACATGTAAACAAATATTTGCCATAAATAATAAGATTGTTACTTGTATTTAATAGTGGAAATAAATAATAAAAAATGTATCCATAAACAGAAATATGCAGAGAATAATATTCTATAAAATAATAATGAATAGAAATTAATAAAAATAAATTAATAATAATACATGTAAATAATAATAAAGCAATAGTAAATTAAATAATTTAAAAGATATATGTTTTAAAAAAAATCTTCTTTTTCCCCTCTCCACAGCGCGAGTGTATCTCTATCCATGTGGGCCAGGCCGGAGTCCAGATGGGCAACACCTGCTGGGAGCTGTACTGCCTGGAGCACGGCATCCAGCAGGACGGCCGCATGCCCGCTGAGAAAGTAGCCAAAGGCCCCGACGACTCCTTCACCACCTTCTTCAGCGAGACCGGCACCGGGAAGTACGTCCCCAGAGCCATCTTCGTCGACCTGGAGCCCACCGTCATCGGTGAGGAACTTAAAAACCTGACGTCTAGCACTCTCAAACCTGGAGATTTTGCGTCACAGAAGCTGAAGAAGTGGGGACACTTTAGTAGAACTAAGACAGAAAGAGGCAGCTTTAAAACATACTTCAGATTTCAGGAGAACGAAGATAAAGGCAATACAACGATAAAGATTAAACCATCTTATCATTACCTAGAATAACTAGTCCATGCCATTGATAAGAATTTATATTTTGACCAAAGTTCAATCCAGCAATTTTACAAGTAAACTATTAGATTTTATTTTGTGAGTCAGTTTTGAGTTCTATATGTATTCATTTCTTCTTTTCATATATATATCTATTGAGCATTAAAAGTACAACATATACAATTACAGAATAAGAAAGGGACAGAAACATAATGCTCACTTTACATTTTCTATTTTAAACATCCCACCCCCCATGTATTCATTTCTATATGTTTTAATTTAAATGGTACCATTAGTATTGACTATTCTTCCCTTTTGTCCCTTTTATCAATTTCCCTAATATGGTGTTAACATGCTCCTCTCCCCTTCAGATGAGGTGCGTACCGGTCCGTACCGTGGCCTGTTCCACCCCGAGCAGATGATCTCCGGGAAGGAAGACGCCGCTAATAACTACGCCCGCGGTCACTACACCGTCGGGAAGGAGCACATCGACTCTGTGCTGGACAGGATCCGCAAACTGGTGAGAAAAGTCTTTATGAGACTCTAGCAGTATAGTACTTGATATTCTTTAAAAAACCTTAAAGGGGACCTATTGTTCAAAATGCACTTTTTAATGTCTTTTATACATAAATATGTGTCCCCGGTGTGTCAGGGAACTCACAAAGTGTCAGAAAACAAAACCTTCTCTCTTTCCCTCCGTACCCAAATCTCTAAAAACGGGGGTACAACGGAGCTGATCCAGATTTGCTGCCGATATGACGTAATATCTGAATTGTGGGCTGGCTTTACGCCCACGGCCCTATCAGAAACGTTACTATCAGAAACAATGCGCGACGTGTTTTGGACGTAATATGGTCTTTGTTTACATTAGCAAGCATCGCTAACACTCAGAGCTAACCTGTACTGGAGAGAGTATGTGTAAAAAAAAAAGCAGGATTTAAAAAAGGAACTGACCTTGTAGTAAACCCGCAAGAGAAAAAAAGCATTTGAGCTCCATACTGTTTCAGAAATAATCCTTGAAGTGGTTTGGAACATGATATGGCGTTTCATCACGGCAGCATTTAGCTGAGTACCTGGGTAGAATTCTGAGCAGGCACAAGCTCCCCCCCTTCTTTATTTTTTTTTTTAAGCTACTGACCCAGAATCAGCGTTTCTCTAACAGGCTGAAATAGAGGATATGAGGGATGTCTAAAATGCATGATCTGTTTGGTATTTTGATCAAAACACTTCATAGACATGTTTTTTTATATATTTGTATCTATCTGAGACCCATAATATATGCCTAAAAATAGCATGATAGGAGATCTTTAAGTCTCTTTCCCCCTCTCCTCCCCAGTCTGACCAGTGCACGGGGCTGCAGGGCTTCCTGGTCTTCCACTCCTTCGGGGGAGGAACCGGCTCCGGCTTCACCTCCCTGCTGATGGAGCGCCTCTCCGTCGACTTTGGCAAGAAGTCCAAGCTGGAGTTCGCCATCTACCCCGCCCCCCAGGTGTCCACTGCCGTAGTTGAGCCTTACAACTCCATCCTGACCACCCACACCACCCTGGAGCACTCCGACTGCGCCTTCATGGTTGACAACGAGGCCATCTACGACATCTGCCGCAGGAACCTGGACATCGCCCGGCCCTCCTACACCAACTTGAACCGCCTCATCAGCCAGATCGTGTCCTCCATCACCGCCTCCCTGCGCTTCGATGGCGCCTTGAACGTGGATCTGACGGAGTTCCAGACCAACCTGGTGCCTTACCCTCGTATCCACTTCCCCCTCGCCACCTACGCCCCGGTTATCTCTGCGGAGAAGGCGTACCACGAGCAGCTCACCGTCGCCGAGATCACCAACGCCTGCTTCGAGCCCGCCAACCAGATGGTGAAGTGCGACCCCCGCCACGGGAAGTACATGGCCTGCTGCATGCTATACCGCGGAGACGTGGTGCCCAAAGACGTCAACTCGGCCATCTCCGCCATCAAAACCAAGCGCAGCATCCAGTTCGTGGACTGGTGTCCCACTGGTTTCAAGGTGGGCATCAACTACCAGCCCCCCACCGTGGTTCCCGGAGGAGACCTGGCCAAGGTGCAGAGGGCCGTGTGCATGCTGAGCAACACCACCGCCATCGCAGAGGCCTGGGCTCGCCTGGACCACAAGTTCGACCTGATGTACGCCAAGAGGGCCTTCGTGCACTGGTACGTGGGGGAGGGGATGGAGGAGGGGGAGTTCTCCGAGGCCAGAGAGGACATGGCCGCCCTGGAGAAGGATTACGAAGAGGTCGGCATCGACTCGTGCGAAGAGGACGAAGAGGGCGAGGAGTATTAACAACCAGAAGTATTACTGTATGCATAGAGCCGTTTTAATGTAAGGGTCACAGTTCAGCAGGTTAGCTCTCCTCCAGCGGCAGGGTCAGGGTTCATGTGCAGTTTAAAGACTTCTAATGTCTCTGCGTCTAAAACTCTGAGTTTGGGTTGTTGAGAAATGACTCTCGTACAAGAGAGAAAACGTGCCTTAACTTCCTTTTCTATAAATAAAGCTGTTTACACAAACCTATCTGACTTGCTGTTTATTATACTTAAAAAAGTCATTCTCAAAGTATCTTCCCTGATAAACGATCTAAAACCCTAACCATACTAAGATGAGTTTTCTATCAGTCAAAGCATCTTGTATCGGCTTACAATGGACAGTGACAAAGCTACCAATATATGGTGATCTTATAGAAACTAATGCTTTGCTGCGTATCAAAATACCTAATCAAATATAAAGGAATTCTACCATCCACAGCAGTAAAATGAATATAAAACAATGACTTTACTGAATACTTAAGTAAGGTTTTGAATGATGGACTTATAGTATTTCTTACAGAATATAATTATTCAATACACTTTAAATGTTTGCTGAGCTGTTGGTGCTTTACCACAAGATGGCAGTATAGTGTTACTGTAGGAGGAAGGTCCTTAGAACCACACGGTTTATACAAGACACACACACACACACAGTGCTTTGTATGGATAAAAGCATGCAGAGGTGGGAGAAGTACTCAGATGTTGTACTTGAGTAAAGATTGAAGTACCAGAGTAGTACAATTCCTGCATTAAAAATGTTACTGAAGTGAAAGTAGAAAAGTATTATCATCAAAATATAGAAAGTAAAAGTAGTGATTGTGCAGATTGGTCCATTTCAGAATAATATGTTTTATAATGATTGATCATGAAAGTGTTCTCAAAGCTGGTAAAGGTGCAGCTAGTTTGAATGACTTTGTATACTGCAGGGTAGCTTGTGGATTTACTCCAGTTGGAACTAAAGTCTGATTTAACACTTGGTTATATTTCACATCTGTAAAGTAACTAAAAGTTTTAAATACATGTAGCGGAGTACAAGTATCTCCCAAGTTTGTCTTTTGGTTCTGGGCTGATTTCCTGCATAGTTCCTGTGCACTCCGGAGACAGATATTTGTCGGCTCAGGTCCTCACTCGGTGTCTGTCTCCGCTGCTGGACTGTCTCCCCTCCCTTCCTCAGAGGAGGAGGCCTTTAGATTAGCTCTGTAATTGCTTTGAGGTAATTAATGCTACATTTGAGCAGAGACTAGGCAACGTGGACAGGGGATTTATAAAGTGCATGGAGGGCAGACAGAGAGAAAGACATTTCCCTTTTTTGTGTCTCCTCTTTTGTGACGTTTTCTTCTAATTATGGGTTTAAAAATAACATGGTGACAAAAGGAAATTGAAGGTGCTGATTATCAACATAAAACTGCAGCAGGGTCAGGACAGAGGGGGTTGGGGGGGGATTTGGTGAACATTTAAACATGATGTCTTAGTTAAACCATCAATACATTAAGGTGGAGCGTATATCAGAAATATAACTTCCTGGGGAAAATAAAATAAGTAAATAATGCAGGAAAAACATTTAAGATATTTCTTCAACCAATGAAGTTAAAATAAAATGTCCAATAAAATAAACTTAAATCTAAATATCTGTATAAATGGAAAAAGTTAAATTACAATTGTCTATATTTATATTTTTTAATTAATTACATTTTTTAGCAGCATCCTGAGATTTCTTGGGACATGTCTGCCCTTTGCCCCCCTCATATTTTAAACTCAGTACTTGCAACAAAGGATCTGAGCACTTCAACCGCTGCAGAACACAAACATATTCTTAATATATACATTCCTTTCTTTCACCCCCTCCTACACAAATAAGACCCACAAGGCTCAGTCATTGTTCTTTAATATTAAAACAGGCAAAAAGTACAATAAGCTTTTCTCTATTTACCCACAGTGTTTCCCCTCGAGGAAGAAAAAGCTAGATTCACAGTACAAACCCCAATAGAAACAATAACCACAACTTCACATTATGTTTTTTAAAACTTGGACTCAAATATAGCAGCCTAGAACTCTACCTAAAATCTATAACAGCATGGAGGACGTTCCTCACTGTGATTTGTGTCTCTCTTGTTATGGCTTTGTGATGCCGTATTACTTAAGGAGCCTTTTATTGCAATACGTAAAGGATAAGCAGCCGGAAATGCACAAGTGGAGAGCAATTGCACTTGTAATTCATCCAGAGAGATTTTAATTCACAAATTAGAACATCAGTTTCAGATTAAGTATAGAAAACAAAAATAATATTTAGTCAGCCAAGGATTTAAAGCAACATAAGGTCGTTAAACCCATTTGGAGCAGTAGAAAATATAAAACCATAGACAATTAAATGGCAAATATGATGTTTGCAGAAAAGATGACATTTCTTTGTAAAGTATATGTATGGTAAACATTAAAAACGTCAGAGCATTCATCAACAATATCATTAAGCTAATCGAAAATGAACATTTTGTGCTATGGGACAATAAAAAACTCACTATTTCAGGCTAACATAAAAGCTGTTATGAAATGATAATTCAATCAAATATAAATCTCAGATAATACTGACACGTTTTTAAAAGTGCAACACTGTACATTAATAATGATGTATTCGTCCAGCCTTTTGCGAATTTATTCATAAATATTCATTAACAGAAATACTTGAGATCTGAAGCCACATTTGTTCTAACTTTACAAGATTTTAAAAGAAGCTTTTCAGGGTTTAGAGAGTGCATTGGCATTGAAAAAAACCGACTTGTTTTATCAACTGGTCCTCCAAATCACCATAAGAGTTTGTTGAATTTGAAAAAGGTGCAATAAAACAAAGATAACTCAGGTTTTGAAACGTAACGTGACTGTAGGAGCTCTGTTCCACTGAGGTGATGAGCGACAGAAACCATATCTGATATGTTGAGAAGAAGCGTGTTTTGTCCATCAAGCTACAAGTATAAAAACACGCACACACACACACACACACACACACACACACACACACACACACACACACGTTCCCTCTCAGTCATCGCTCTTTAGTTGGCTGAGTAATGATGCGTCGAGCAGACAGCCTCTGAAGTAACCAATCAGGGCGTGAGTCAGCTGAATCTGGCTGCGCCTCGACAGGAAGTGTCCCTCGTCTGGGTAAATCTGTCCCGAGTAACAACAAAAAATGATGACAGATGCATAAGTAAACAAACAAGGTCATTGAAACTTAAAAAAAAGCATGCTTAGGGGTTGTCGTTTTTGGAACAGAGGATTAGGACTGCAACTAACTGCCAATTATTTTCTTGTTTACTCTTTAAAATATCATAAAAAAGTGAAAAATGTCCATCCCAGCTTCTTAAGAGTCCGTATTATATATTTAAATGTATTTTTCTTCAATTTCTGCATGGTAATTAATATAGAAAATGGTCTAAATGGTGGGCTTCTTTTATGTTGATCAATTTGTAGATTTTTGAGTTGCAGCTCTATTCAGGATTGCAAACTTTGTTTTGCAACACACCTTTATAACTTCTACATAAAGGCATTGAAACAGACTTTAATGACTAAACATCCTTAAGTTGGTCCTTGAAACATCCTCTCTATGTACTTCTCCAGCCACAGTTGAAGTTTACCTGCATGGTATAGTTGGCCCCGATCTTTATTAAGTGTTTGATGAGCTCCGCAGAGTGCTGAAAGTGAACGTTTGCTGTGGAGAAAAACAAGTGTGTGAAGTGAGGGTCACAGGGGTCATATATACTGCTGGATATAAAAGAGCCGCTTCTCATCAGGGCCACAGCCAGCAGACTGCATCTCATAACACACATATAGTTACCTTGACAATAACATATCTTTTTCATTATAGGTAGAAAATATAGAGGCGTACCGTCAGCAGTGCCATGAGCCAGAAACAGAGTCGCTCCCTGCAGACTTTTCATGTTGGTCAGGACGTTAGAAACCTGGAAGACACAATCATCATCAGTGCTTTCTGTATTTACTAAGCTTTTGGTGTTTATGCTAAGCTAAGTGGCAACTGTCTGTATCCTCGTACCTATCGTGCAGACATGAAGTCATTTGAATGTCAAAAACGGTTTTATTTGTTGATTTATTTCCGTCACAGATGCTCAGAATACAAACTCATGTTTTTACATAAAGTGAAACGCAACCACGTAGTTTGGGTAATTAAAAATGGAAACACTGACATATTTGATTGCAAAGCAGTAATATGCGCAGGGGACTCAGATATATCCTTGTTAGTCTTTTTACATGCAATAATAAAGTAGCGTCATATGTAAATAATGAAGTAGTTTATTTTTGTAAATGTACAACTTAAATCTCGAAATGTTACCCCCTTCCACTGACTGTACTTTTTCTTCTTTTGCCTACAATATAAAAAGGAGTAGAAGTACAAAGTAACTTCAGATATAAATATTGAAGTAGAGTACAACATTTTGCACTTTAACACAGTACTTCCTGTCGTGAAACCACTAACATTCCACACACTTAGTGCAGAATGGGCCTAGTAAAGGTCAGTTTTGAAGGCACTAGAAATGAAAATGTATTTTTGGTGTTCACATTTGGAGTCTGGATGTAAGAGCCATTTTGATGGAGTGTCATGTTTGGGTTCAGGTTGTCACAATTGGGTGTTATTCCCTGTGTGTGCCATAGGGTCTCGCTGTCCAATTCCCTATGGCACGGGTATGTAAGGTTTGTTTTGTCACCTGATCAGGTGTGTCTGACCCCGGAAGGGCAAATGGTTTTTGACCGCAGTTCCGCGAGTGCCGAAAATAATGTTTGTTATGGAATGGATCGTTGTATGGCTACGTTGGAGGGCGTCTGCAGACCGCAGGGGGACGAGGAGAGCCACCTGCTGTGTGACCACCAGGAGTTCGTCTGGAGTCATCTATTGGACCCGACGCAGGAGCTAATGTGCTAATGCTAAAAACACCGGAATTGGAGCATCGCCGCGGACCACCACACAGTGCCGGACGCGTCATATAGACAGGTATGTGCAGCGCTACAATGTTTAATGGACATATAACGAGTGTGCACCATAGACTGTATATATAAGGTGTGCACACAAAACCTACGCAAAAAACAAGTGCATTGGTAGCAGAAGTGCACATACAAGTGACTTTATATTGACTGTTTTGATGGAATAGACTATTATCACGCTGCGTCTGTCGCAAATAGCGTCACATGGGACAGGTTTGC